ACAGATAATCGGTTTCCTCGTTAAAAAAATAATTCTTCAACGAGTTCCCCGCCCCATAAAACAACTAGTGAAATTTAGTCTAGTAACAAGTCTGACATTAACATCGCATTTATTCTTGGAAAGCTACTCTTCCCCCCAAACCTTCACCTAAAGCCAGTGGCGTAGCGAAGGCGGGGCGGGGGTGCGGACCGCACCGGGTGACACCATTTACGGGGGTGACACCAAGGCGAAAAATTGCAAAATCTACAGACTATAGATAAACATCGTTGCTATTAAGTCTGCAGTCTACTCGTATGTGGCATATATTTAAATTATTGGCCTATGTATGCCGACACACACACACACACACACACACACACACACATATATATATATATATATATATATATATATATATATATATATATATATATATATATATATATATATATATATATATATATATATATATTTATATATATATATATATATATATATATATATATATATATATATATATATATATATATATATATATTTATATATATATATATATATATATATATATATATATATATACTTTGTTTCTTAGGGGGGGGGGGTTACACCACGAAATGCCGCACCGGGTGACACCCGACCTAACGACGCCACTGCCTAAAGCCTACCCTGAGATCTCTTCCAAGTTCACATACAAATCTCCTAGGAATTCCCCCCCCCCCCCCAACCACCAACGCTAGACGACAGCCAAAGCCATATCTGTCACAGACTGAAAAAACTATTGTCTTATGCCGCCTGATTCTCTTCTAGGTTCCCCCTTCGTCCACCCAACCCTCAAGCTCTGACTATCATACCAGAGCTCTGTCTGTGTCAGGTTTTCAAGGCACGCCCATGAGTAGTCACCCAACCGTGTCTTCCCTTAAACAACTTTACTTCCTCATTCATAGAAATTATTTTAAAATAATTCTCCATTCCGTATGTTCATTAAAATACTCTTTAATTCTTCCACATAAATAATCTTTTTATAATTTTAATTAACATTCAGTCGTATCGCAATTCTATCAAAAGTATCTTCATTCTGTATCCCCCCCCCCATAATATTATATTTTGTCACACTTTTACCATCTGTACCTTTGCTAGTCAACTTTTTATTTAACACAACACCTTTTTACAATTCTATATTTTAACTGAAGCATTCACTTGAGATTATCAGATACGGAATCAGAAAAACATTTATTTATGTATGAATTTGTAGTAAAAAAAATATTCACAAAAATGTTCACAGCCTTTTTTAAACATGTAAAACACATCTGGCTTGTTCATTGGCCGTATGCATATGTCTGCGATGTGTCTTCAAGAGCCTGTGTATTTACTAACCATGCTGTTGTATGCACCGCTGCCCTTTCTCCGCTCCGGGCGTGTTTTCAAAAAATAATTAACATAATATATGTTGTTAGGCCACCCCGCAATACCTCGGCCCCGGATCGCCTATCTACATACCTGCCTGCTAGGTGCAGAGCTATTAGAGCTACGGCGCTGAAGTTTTTCATTGCATTTAAGGCGTAAATTTAAAAATAAAAAAGCTAATTGCTGTATTGAAGAAGGCCGGTTACAATTATAATTTCCAATTTTTACCATTAAAACACTCTACCCTTGTTTTTTAATGCAGCTTTGTAAAAGCTATAGAATTTAAATAATCAAAACGACACCCCCCCCCCATTTTTCTTCTAAATCGATACCCCACCCATCACCCCTCCCCAAGTCCTGCCCCGGTTTACAGATCACCCCCCGCCAGGCTTAAAGGTGAACGGTTTGCGACATGACGACACAAGGGAAGTAACCGAAAATACGGCGTTTACCTCCCCTCTTCAGCCGGTGCTAGGATAATAGAGGCCATTCAAGCAGGAATCTCGTACTGTTGTCTGGGGCTATGCGGCTAACGGTCGGACACATGCTCAAACTACACGCCCGTGTTATTTAACAATGGCACTGTTCTAAGATTCTTGGATGGTTTACTTTTTACATCAGTGATAATTGTTATTTCAGTGATACTTTTATTTTAAATAGTTGGCATACATTAAAATTACATTCATTTCTTAAATTTAAAAAAAAATAATTTATAGGCTGTTTTTGAAACACACAAATTTTAAATTAGTTCTTCGATTAATTTCCTAGTGGAGTAAAACTATGTAACTTTACAAATGGATTTATCTGTAAAAAGCGGTATTTTTAAAGTAAGTATATATTTTTATTTTTCTACAAATTTAAATTTATTTAAATTATAATGTAATCATGATAGTCTATCTGAGCGTAGACCAAAATTTAAATTAAAAAAAAAAACATTAGTTAAGTTGTTTGAGATGTGAGCTACGAATATCCTTATCCGCTGGACTGCAATGGCCTGCGTATCTTATAGTGTGAGCAATGAAGCGTAACGGTTAGGCTAGAAACACGTGTAGACTACCCATTGGGCAGGGCGATATCTCACATTTTACAACTTCATCATCATCGTTGTCGTCTTCTCCCATTCGTATACAAGACACACAAGACAGATGAAGTAGAGTCCACCTGTTTCAATGACCTCGCCATATGAAAGGATATTGTCTAAAGCACTATGCCCAGTCACCTGTTTCCCTAGCGTGTGTCACTTGACGTCCAGCAGTCAATAGCCCGAATCGAGATTCGAACTCGAAACTTTCGCGCTAGCAGTCGAACGCTCTACTATTCGACCACTCCGTTCCCCTATTTAACATCAACACACGTAAGTGATTGTGTGGGTAGCTGCTCTAAACGACCCCTCCCCACCCCAGTAACACTTTACAGTCCTTCAAATACAGTGCTACCTCGAGATATGGGTTCGATTTGTTCCGTGCATTGCTCGTTTGTCAAATTGCTCGTATCTCAGAGTTAATTTCCCCATTAAAATTAAATGAAATGCCATTAATCCGATCCAGCCCCCATTCGCCACCCAGTTGTATTTGTTACGTATTTTAAAAAAAATAAGAAAACTGTATTTATACATGACTAATTTTAATATTGTTTAATTACATAATATATTATAATGCTAATAAATAAACTTGTTTTATACAATGTATTTACCTTGTAAAACAACCGACGGGAGCTTACTGAAGTTGGCCAGTGTATGGTGATGGAGATAAGGGGAGTTGCTTCCCTTCGTTCACCCAGTGTAAATACTGAACTCTTTCGATTAATTTAATTGTCTCACTTGTTCCATTACACTTTATCCCTAAACTTAACGTAATTCACCGACCCGTCAACGCCGACCACATGCTTATTGATTTGTTTTTAGAACTCATGACATAATTTATTAAAACTTGCTGCCCTAAGCCCACTAATTCTTTTTGCCTTAAGACACTAGTCCTTGCTTTGCGAAGGCCACAGATTCATGATTCCATAATCCCACTATTTGACATTCCCTTAACTCTATTGGTCCATGCTGCCCTAAGCCCATTTGTCCATGCCGCCCTAAGCCCATTTGTCCATGCTCTAAGCCCCCTTGTCCATGATGACTAAAGCCCACTAATACATGCTGCCCAAAGCCCTCTTTTCCATGCTGCCTTAAGCGCACTGGTCCATGTCGACCTAAGCCCACTAATCCAAGCTGCCCTTATCCCACTAATCCATGCTGCCCTATGCCCACTAATACATGCTGCCCTCAGCCCATGTTGCCTTAAGCCCACTGATCCAGAGTGCCATTGGCCAAGTGTTCCAGACTGCGGCTGTAGGCCATCATATTAAATACAGCCAAGTGTAGTTCAAAGAGTACCAACACCGTAAAGTAGCAGTCAGTGAATATTCGCCCCCCGAAGAGATGCTTGGAAGAAGCTCTAGTTCTGGTAGCAGTCAGCGATGGGTCAATACGCTATTAGTCACTGCAATTACGTTTTTTATGGTGTCGTGCCTCGTTGCAAAAAATGAGAATTTATAAATGAAATATATTTAGGCCAATATCGAGGGTGATCTAATATGGTCCATTAGGACGGTAATTTTAAATCTTATAGGCCTAGTCTAATCCAGAGGCGCAGCGGGGGGGGGGGGGGGGGGGTTGCGGACCGCACCGGGTGACACCATTTAGGGGGGGGTGACACCAAGGCAAAAAATAGTAAAATATATAGAGAAAAATAATAATTCCACTTCATTAAGTGATTAATTCGAGTGTAAAATAGTCCTATAAGAGGTGCAAATGGAAAAAAAAAATTGGGGGGGGGGTACAAATCGAACGTTTGAGGGGGTGGGGTGCTATTCGAAAGTTTGAGGGAGCTTGTCCCCGGGAAGGGTCGCTACGCCTCTGGGGGGTGACACCATTAAGTGCCGCACCGGGTGACACCCGACCTAGCTACGCCACTGGTCTAATCTAATAGGCCCACTTAAGGTCCTCAATACCAATACCGTGTTACCAATAACAGTCTTGTTAATGATGGGAGTGTTCACAATGACATGCTTACAAACAGTTATTATTTAATTATAATGGGTGTTTCTGGCGAATAAGGGAGCTTCTTATTACTATTCACCCACTGTCTACGCTGCTAATTGTTATAATTTTGACAAAAAGTTTAGATTTTTTGGAGTTATTCAGCTTTAAATGACACATTATCTTACATTTCAGGCATTAAAAAGACGAAAAGCCCGAATCTCAAATATGAAACAATTAAATCTGGTTACTGCTTGGACTACCATACTTTTCATTCAATTAATGTTAACAAAATGTTGCACAGGTAACACCACAAAATTTTAATTTTTTTTTACTAAAGATTCCTAGTGATTCTAGAACTAGAAAATAGATCTATTTGTAACTATTCGGTCTATATTCTATATTTACTTTAGGCTTAGGATTATTGATCATAAGCAATATAAATTATAAGGCATAAGGCTTAGGCCTAATTAAACTTTATTTATTATTTAAAATTTAAAGGCCTTTTACTTTTACTTTGACTTTAACTTTTATTAATTATTTTATTAGGACACCAGCGAGTTGACGAGATTCCTTCCATAATGTTGTTGACATGCTTTTAAGATTTAGACTGTAAAAAAAAAAAACTTAAGCCTAAAATTAATTTAGAAATTTTATAGGCCCTATTGAAATTGCTATAAAATATAAAAGTTGCAAATCCAGAGAACTTGAAAATAATTTGTTCAGTTTAAAGTTTAAGGCTACACATTTCTATTTATTTTCATCAAGCCTAAGTTATAACCCGATGTTTCACTTTCGTAAGACAAATATTGATTGGCTGTACAGTAACTTAGTGATCGATAACTATTTGTTTACAAAACTTTGCAAATCAAGTTTTTAAATAACAATACAAATTTAAACACCATGACCTAGTTTTTCTATTTTTAGCTTACAATGTGTACAATAAATCTATGACGGCCTATCCAATAGCAGGATGCCATTGTTTATGTCCCCAATAACACGTGAAAACCAAATTGTTTTTGCTTTTTAAAAATTTTTTTATTTAGTTACCGAAAATATTAAAAACATCAAATACATCCAATTTTTAGTAAAGTCCGAAAAAAATCAGACAGACAGGATTTTATAACCATATTAATTGTAACTACACCGTGCATGATTTTTAAATTAATTTATGGACCTCTCAAATACCTTTGAGACTTTTCTCGCTGGCGTCCATATAACAATTTTGGAGGGGAGGCTTACTTTTTGAACGTTTATTTACAAAATGTAGAATTTAAGTTTAAACTGTAGATCTATAATACTAAAAATTGAAAGTCAAAGCCCTAAAGGAAATCAAAAGTAAGGTTTAAAAAATGCAAATTAGATCTAAATATTGTTAAATAAAACAAGTAAATAAAAATAAAATGGTTATTCTATTACATGTTCAGATGATCATAATTAATAATTAATTAATAATTATTCATAATTCAGATTATTATTTTTAAACAAGATTATACATCTACGATCTAGCTTAGGTAGAAAAAGACAGCAGTACCACCAATTATGTTAAATCTGTTATGAAATAAGATAGATCTACATTAATCAACAAAAATTTATGACATTTCAGTCCAAGCAATTAGACCTCTTAGATCTACCAAACAAAAGTCTACATCTAGCATCTAAACTGGACTAATTGTTTTAATTATTTTTCTACAATTTTAACCACAGTTGCATATTCATCTGAAGAATCAACTACAGCAACAATACCTGCCACTACAATAGTAATCACAGTTGCACCACCATCATCTGAAGAATCTACTACAGCAACTGTATCAGACACTACAATAGTAACCACAGTAGCACCATCATCATCTGAAGAATCTACTACAGCAACTGTATCAGACACTACAATAGTAACCACAGTAGCACCATCATCATCTGAAGAATCTACTACAGCAACTGTACCTGCCACTACAACTGTAACAACAGTAGCACCATCATCATCGGAAGAATCTACTACAGCAACTGTATCAGACACTACAACAGTAAACACAGTAGCACCATCATCATCTGAAGAATCTACTACAGCAACTGTACCTGCCACTACAACAGTAACAACAGTTGCACCATCATCATCTGAAGAATATACTACAGCAACTGTATCAGACACTACAATAGTAACCACAGTAGCACCATCATCATCTGAAGAATCTACTACAGCAACTGTACCTGCCACTACAACAGTAACAACAGTTGCACCATCATCATCTGAAGAATCTACTACAGCAACTGTATCAGACACTACAATAGTAATCACCGTAACACCATCATCATCTGAAGAATCTACTACAGCAACTGTACCTGCCACTACAACAGTAACCACAGTAGCACCATCATCATCTGAAGAATCTACTAAAACAACTGTATCAGACACTACAATAGTAACAACAGTAGCACCATCATCATCTGAAGAATCTACTACAGCAACTGTACCAGACACTACAACAGTAACAACAGTAGCACCATCATCATCTGAAGAATCTACTACAGCAACTGTATCAGACACTACAACAGTAACAACAGTTGCACCATCATCATCTGAAGAATCTACTACAGCAACTGTACCAGACACTACAACAGTAACAACAGTAGCACCATCATCATCTGAAGAATCTACTACAGCAACTGTATCAGACACTACAACAGTAACAACAGTAGCACCATCATCATCTGAAGAATCTACTACAGCAACTGTACCAGACACTACAACAGTAACAACAGTAGCACCATCATCATCTGAAGAATCTACTACAGCAACTGTATCAGACACTACAACAATAACCACAGTAGCACCATCATCATCTGAAGAATCTACTACAGCAACTGTACCTGCCACTACAACAGTAACAACAGTAGCACCATCATCATCTGAAGAATCTACTACAGCAACTGTATCAGACACTACAATAGTAACCACCGTAGCACCATCATCATCTGAAGAATCTACTACAGCAACTGTACCTGCCACTACAACAGTAACAACAGTAGCACCATCATCATCTGAAGAATCTACTACAGCAACTGTACCTGCCACTACAACAGTAACAACAGTAGCACCATCATCATCTGAAGAATCTACTACAGCAACTGTATCAGACACTACAATAGTAACCACAGTAGCACCATCATCATCTGAAGAATCTACTACAGCAACTGTACCTGCCACTACAACAGTAACAACAGTTGCACCATCATCATCTGAAGAATCTACTACAGCAACTGTATCAGACACTACAACAATAACCACAGTAGCACCATCATCATCTGAAGAATCTACTACAGCAACTGTACATGCCACTACAACTGTAACAACAGTAGCACCATCATCATCTGAAGAATCTACTACAGCAACTGTATCAGACACTACAATAGTAACCACAGTAGCACCAACATCATCTGAAGAATCTACTACAGCAACTGTATCAGACACTACAACAATAACCACAGTAGCACCATCATCATCTGAAGAATCTACTACAGCAACTGTATCAGACACTACAACAGTAACATCAGTTGCACCATCATCATCTGAAGAATCTACTACAGCAACTGTATCAGACACTACAATAGTAACCACAGTAGCACCATCATCATCTGAAGAATCTACTACAGCAACTGTACCTGCCACTACAACAGTAACAACAGTTGCACCATCATCATCTGAAGAATCTACTACAGCAACTGTATCAGACACTACAATAGTAACCACAGTAGCACCATCATCATCTGAAGAATCTACTACAGCAACTGTACCTGCCACTACAACAGTAACAACAGTTGCACCATCATCATCTGAAGAATCTACTACAGCAACTGTATCAGACACTACAACAATAACCACAGTAGCACCATCATCATCTGAAGAATCTACTACAGCAACTGTACCTGCCACTACAACAGTAACAACAGTAGCACCATCATCATCTGAAGAATCTACTACAGCAACTGTATCAGACACTACAATAGTAACCACCGTTGCACCATCATCATCTGAAGAATCTACTACAGCAACTGTACCTGCCACTACAACAGTAACAACAGTAGCACCATCATCATCTGAAGAATCTACTACAGCAACTGTACCTGCCACTACAACAGTAACAACAGTAGCACCATCATCATCTGAAGAATCTACTACAGCAACTGTATCAGACACTACAACAGTAACAACAGTAGCACCATCATCATCTGAAGAATCTACTACAGCAACTGTACCTGCCACTACAACAGTAACAACAGTTGCACCATCATCATCTGAAGAATCTACTACAGCAACTGTATCAGACACTACAACAAAAACCACAGTAGCACCATCATCATCAGAAGAATCTACTACAGCAACTGTATCAGACACTACAATAGTAACAACAGTTGCACCATCATCATCTGAAGAATCTACTACAGCAACTGTACCTGCCACTACAACAGTAACAACAGTAGCACCATCATCATCTGAAGAATCTACTACAGCAACTGTATCAGACACTACAACAGTAACATCAGTTGCACCATCATCATCTGAAGAATCTACTACAGCAACTGTATCAGACACTACAATAGTAACCACAGTAGCACCATCATCATCTGAAGAATCTACTACAGCAACTGTACCTGCCACTACAACAGTAACAACAGTTGCACCATCATCATCTGAAGAATCTACTACAGCAACTGTATCAGACACTACAATAGTAACCACAGTAGCACCATCATCATCTGAAGAATCTACTACAGCAACTGTACCTGCCACTACAACAGTAACAACAGTTGCACCATCATCATCTGAAGAATCTACAACAGCAACTGTATCAGACACTACAATAGTAACCACAGTAGCACCAACATCATCTGAAGAATCTACTACAGCAACTGTATCAGACACTACAACAATAACCACAGTAGCACCATCATCATCTGAAGAATCTACTACAGCAACTGTATCAGACACTACAACAGTAACATCAGTTGCACCATCATCATCTGAAGAATCTACTACAGCAACTGTATCAGACACTACAATAGTAACCACAGTAGCACCATCATCATCTGAAGAATCTACTACAGCAACTGTACCTGCCACTACAACAGTAACAACAGTTGCACCATCATCATCTGATGAATCTACTACAGCAACTGTATCAGACACTACAATAGTAACCACAGTAGCACCATCATCATCTGAAGAATCTACTACAGCAACTGTACCTGCCACTACAACAGTAACAACAGTTGCACCATCATCATCTGAAGAATCTACTACAGCAACTGTATCAGACACTACAATAGTAACCACAGTAGCACCATCATCATCTGAAGAATCTACTACAGCAACTGTACCTGCCACTACAACAGTAACAACAGTTGCACCATCATCATCTGAAGAATCTACTACAGCAACTGTATCAGACACTACAATAGTAACCACCGTAGCACCATCATCATCTGAAGAATCTACTACAGCAACTGTATCAGACACTACAATAGTAACAACAGTTGCACCATCATCATCTGAAGAATCTACTACAGCAACTGTATCAGACACTACAACAGTAACAACAGTAGCACCATCATCATCTGAAGAATCTACTACAGCAACTGTATCAGACACTACAATAGTAACCACAGTAGCTCCATCATCATCTGAAGAATCTACTACAGCAACTGTACCTGCCACTACAACTGTAACAACAGTAGCACCATCATCATCTGAAGAATCTACTACAGCAACTGTATCAGACACTACAATAGTAACCACAGTAGCACCAACATCATCTGAAGAATCTACTACAGCAACTGTATCAGACACTACAACAATAACCACAGTAGCACCATCATCATCTGAAGAATCTACTACAGCAACTGTATCAGACACTACAACAGTAACAACAGTTGCACCATCATCATCTGAAGAATCTACTACAGCAACTGTATCAGACACTACAATAATAACCACAGTAGCACCATCATCATCTGAAGAATCTACTACAGCAAATGTACCTGCCACTACAACAGTAACAACAGTTGCACCATCATCATCTGAAGAATCTACTACAGCAACTGTATCAGACACTACAATAGTAACCACAGTAGCACCATCATCATCTGAAGAATCTACTACAGCAACTGTACCTGCAACTACAACAGTAACAACAGTTGCACCATCATCATCTGAAGAATCTACTACAGCAACTGTATCAGACACTACAACAATAACCACAGTAGCACCATCATCATCTGAAGAATCTACTACAGCAACTGTACCTGCCACTACAACAGTAACAACAGTAGCACCATCATCATCTGAAGAATCTACTACAGCAACTGTATCAGACACTACAATAGTAACCACAGTAGCACCATCATCATCTGAAGAATCTACTACAGCAACTGTACCTGCCACTACAACAGTAACAACAGTTGCACCATCATCATCTGAAGAATCTACTACATCAACTGTATCAGACACTACAACAATAACCACAGTAGCACCATCATCATCTGAAGAATCTACTACAGCAACTGTACCTGCCACTACAACAGTAACAACAGTTGCACCATCATCATCTGAAGAATCTACTACAGCAACTGTATCAGACACTACAATAGTAACCACAGTAGCACCATCATCATCTGAAGAATCTACTACAGCAACTGTACCTGCCACTACAACAGTAACAACAGTAGCACCATCATCATCTGAAGAATCTACTACAGCAACTGTATCAGACACTACAATAGTAACCACAGCAACTGTACCTGCCACTACAACAGTAACAACAGTAGCACCATCATCATCTGAAGAATCTACTACAGCAACTGTATCAGACACTACAATAGTAACCACCGTAGCACCATCATCATCTGAAGAATCTACTACAGCCACTGTATCAGACACTACAATAGTAACAACAGTTGCACCATCATCATCTGAAGAATCTACTACAGCAACTGTATCAGACACTACAACAATAACCACAGTAGCACCATCATCATCTGAAGAATCTACTACAGCAACTGTACCTGCCACTACAACAGTAACAACAGTTGCACCGTCATCATCTGAAGAATCTACTACAGCAACTGTATCAGACACTACAATAGTAACCACAGTAGCACCATCATCATCTGAAGAATCTACTACAGCAACTGTACCTGCCACTACAACAGTAACAACAGTTGCTCCATCATCATCTGAAGAATCTACTACAGCAACTGTATCAGACACTACAATAGTAACCACAATAGCTCCATCATCATCTGAAGAATCTACTACAGCAACTGTACCTGCCACTACAACAGTAACAACAGTTGCACCATCATCATCTGAAGAATCTACTACAGCAACTGTATCAGACACTACAATAGTAACAACAGTTGCACCATCATCATCTGTAGAATCTACTACAGCAACTGTATCAGACACTACAATAGTAACCATAGTAGCACCATCATCATCTGAAGAATCTACTTCAGCAACTGTACCTGCCACTACAACAGTAACAACAGTTGCACCATCATCATCTGAAGAATCTACTACAGCAACTGTATTAGACACTACAATAGTAACAACAGTTGCACCATCATCATCTGAAGAATCTACTACAGCAACTGTACCTGCCACTACAACAGTAACAACAGTTGCACCATCATCATCTGAAGAATCTACTACAGCAACTGTATCAGACACTACAATAGTAACAACAGTTGCACCATCATCATCTGTAGAATCTACTACAGCAACTGTATCAGACACTACAATAGTAACCACAGTAGCACCATCATCTTCTGAAGAATCTACTACAGCAACTGTATCAGACACTACAACAATAACCACAGTAGCACCATCATCATCTGAAGAATCTACTACAGCAACTGTACCTGCCACTACAACAGTAACAAAAGTTGCACCATCATCTTCTGAAGAATCTACTACAGCAACTGTATCAGACACTACAATAGTAACCACAGTAGCACCATCATCATCTGAAGAATCTACTACAGCAACTGTACCTGCCACTACAACAGTAACAACAGTTGCACCATCATCATCTGAAGAATCTACTACAGCAACTGTATCAGACACTACAACAATAACCACAGTAGCACCATCATCATCTGAAGAATCTACTACAGCAACTGTACCAGACACTACAATAGTAACAACAGTTGCACTATCATCATCTGTAGAATCTACTACAGCAACTGTATCAGACACTACAATAGTAACCACAGTAGCACCATCATCATCTGAAGAATCTACTACAGCAACTGTATCAGACACTACAATAGTAACCACAGTAGCACCATCATCATCTGAAGAATCTACTACAGCAACTGTATCAGACACTACAACAATAACCACAGTAGCACCATCATCATCTGAAGAATCTACTACAGCAACTGTACCAGACACTACAACAGTAACAACAGTAGCACCATCATCATCTGAAGAATCTACTACAGCCACTGTATCAGACACTACAATAGTAACCACCATAGCACCATCATCATCTGAAGAATCTACTACAGCAACTGTACCTGCCACTACAACAGTAACAACAGTTGCACCATCATCATCTGAAGAATCTACTACAGCAACTGTATCAGACACTACAATAATAACCACAGTAGCACCATCATCATCTGAAGAATCTACTACAGCAACTGTACCTGCCACTACAACAGTAACAACAGTTGCACCATCATCATCTGAAGAATCTACTACAGCAACTCTATCAGACAGTACAACAGTAACAACAGTTGCACCATCATCATCTGAAGAATCTACTACAGCAACTGTATCAGACACTACAACAGTAACAACAGTTGCACCATCATCATCTGAAGAATCTACTACAGCAACTGTATCAGACACTACAATAGTAACCACAGTAGCACCATCATCATCTGAAGAATCTACTACAGCAACTGTACCTGCCACTACAACAGTAACAACAGTAGCACCATCATCATCTGAAGAATCTACTACAGCAACTGTATCAGACACTACAATAGTAACCACCATAGCACCATCATCATCTGAAGAATCTACTACAGCAACTGTACCTGCCACTACAACAGTAACAACAGTTGCACCATCATCATCTGAAGAATCTACTACAGCAACTGTATCAGACACTACAACAATAACCACAGTAGCACCATCATCATCTGAAGAATCTACTACAGCAACTGTACCTGCCACTACAACAGTAACAACAGTTGCACCATCATCATCTGAAGAATCTACTACAGCAACTGTATCAGACACTACAATAGTAACAACAGTAGCTCCATCATCATCTGAAGAATCTACTACAGCAACTGTACCTGCCACTACAACAGTAACAACTGTTGCACCATCATCATCTGAAGAATCTACTACAGCAACTGTATCAGACACTACAATAGTAACCACAGTAGCTGCATCATCATCTGAAGAATCTACTACAGCAACTGTACCTGCCACTACAACAGTAACAACAGTTGCACCATCATCATCTGTAGAATCTACTACAGCAACTGTATCAGACACTACAATGGTAACAACAGTAGCACCATCATCATCTGAAGAATCTACTACAGCAACTGTACCTGCCACTACAACAGTAACAACAGTTGCACCATCATCATCTGAAGAATCTACTACAGCAACTCTATCAGACACTACAACAGTAACAACAGTTGCACCATCATCATCTGAAGAATCTACTACAGCAACTGTATCAGACACTACAATAGTAACAACAGTTGCACCATCATCATCTGAAGAATCTACTACAGCAACTGTACCTGCCACTACAACAGTATCTACAGTTGCACCATCATCATCTGAAGAATCTACTACAGCAACTGTATCAGACACTACAATAGTAACCACAGTAGCACCATCATCATCTGAAGAATCTACTACAGCAACTGTACCTGCCACTACAACAGTAACAACAGTTGCACCATCATCATCTGAAGAATCTACTACAGCAACTGTATCAGACACTACAATAGTAACCACCGTAGCACCATCATCATCTGAAGAATCTACTACAGCAACTGTACCTGCCACTACAACAGTAACAACAGTTGCACCATCATCATCTGAAGAATCTACTACAGCAACTGTATCAGACACTACAACAATAACCACAGTAGCACCATCATCATCTGAAGAATCTACTACAGCAACTGTACCTGCCACTACAACAGTAACAACAGTTGCACCATCATCATCTGAAGAATCTACTACAGCAACTGTACCTGCCACTACAACAGTAACAACAGTTGCACCATCATCATCTGAAGAATCTACTACAGCAACTGTATCAGACACTACAATAGTAACCACCGTAGCACCATCATCATCTGAAGAATCTACTACAGCAACTGTACCTGCCACTACAACAGTAACAACAGTTGCACCATCATCATCTGAAGAATCTACTACAGCAACTGTATCAGACACTACAACAATAACCACAGTAGCACCATCATCATCTGAAGAATCTACTACAGCAACTGTACCTGCCACTACAACAGTAACAACAGTTGCACCATCATCATCTGAAGAATCTACTACAGCAACTGTACCTGCCACTACAACAGTAACAACAGTTGCACCATCATCATCTGAAGAATCTACTACAGCAACTGTATCAGACACTACAATAGTAACAACAGTAGCTCCATCATCATCTGAAGAATCTACTACAGCAACTGTACCTGCCACTACAACAGTAACAACTGTTGCACCATCATCATCTGAAGAATCTACTACAGCAACTGTATCAGACACTACAATAGTAACCACAGTAGCTCCATCATCATCTGAAGAATCTACTACAGCAACTGTACCTGCCACTACAACAGTAACAACAGTTGCACCATCATCATCTGTAGAATCTACTACAGCAACTGTATCAGACACTACAATGGTAACAACAGTAGCACCATCATCATCTGAAGAATCTACTACAGCAACTGTACCTGCCACTACAACAGTAACAACAATTGCACCATCATCATCTGAAGAATCTATTACAGCAACTCTATCAGACACTACAACAGTAACAACAGTTGCACCATCATCATCTGAAGAATCTACTACAGCAACTGTATCAGACACTACAATAGTAACCACAGTAGCACCATCATCATCTGAAGAATCTACTACAGCAACTGTACCTGCCACTACAACAGTAACAACAGTTGCACCATCATCATCTGAAGAATCTACTACAGCAACTGTATCAGACACTACAATAGTAACCACCGTAGCACCATCATCATCTGAAGAATCTACTACAGCAACTGTACCTGCCACTACAACAGTAACAACAGTTGCACCATCATCATCTGAAGAATCTACTACAGCAACTGTATCAGACACTACAACAATAACCACAGTAGCACCATCATCATCTGAAGAATCTACTACAGCAACTGTACCTGCCACTACAACAGTAACAACTGTTGCACCATCATCATCTGAAGAATCTACTACAGCAACTGTATCAGACACTACAATAGTAACCACAGTAGCTCCATCATCATCTGAAGAATCTACTACAGCAACTGTACCTGCCACTACAACAGTAACAACAGTTGCACCATCATCATCTGAAGAATCTACTACAGCAACTGTATCAGACACTACAATAGTAACCACCGTAGCACCATCATCATCTGAAGAATCTACTACAGCAACTGTACCTGCCACTACAACAGTAACAACAGTTGCACCATCATCATCTGAAGAATCTACTACAGCAACTCTATCAGACACTACAACAGTAACAACAGTTGCACCATCATCATCTGAAGAATCTACTACAGCAACTGTATCAGACACTACAATAGTAACAACAGTTGCACCATCATCATCTGAAGAATCTACTACAGCAACTGTACCTGCCACTACAACAGTATCTACAGTTGCACCATCATCATCTGAAGAATCTACTACAGCAACTGTATCAGACACTACAATAGTAACCACAGTAGCACCATCATCATCTGAAGAATCTACTACAGCAACTGTACCTGCCACTACAACAGTAACAACAGTTGCACCATCATCATCTGAAGAATCTACTACAGCAACTGTATCAGACACTACAATTATAACCACCGTAGCACCATCATCATCTGAAGAATCTACTACAGCAACTGTACCTGCCACTACAACAGTAACAACAGTTGCACCATCATCATCTGAAGAATCTACTACAGCAACTGTACCTGCCACTACAACAGTAACAACAGTTGCACCATCATCATCATCTGAAGAATCTACTACAGCAACTGTATCAGACACTACAATAATAACCACAGTAGCACCATCATCATCTGAAGAATCTACTACAGCAACTGTATCAGACAGTACAACAGTAACAACAGTTGCACCATCATCATCTGAAGAATCTACTACAGCAACTGTATCAGACACTACAATAGTAACAACAGTTGCACCATCATCATCTGAAGAATCTACTACAGCAACTGTACCTGCCACTACAACAGTAACAACAGTTGCACCATCATCATCTGAAGAATCTACTACAGCAACTGTATCAGACACTACAACAATAACCACAGTAGCACCATCATCATCTGAAGAATCTACTACAGCAACTGTATCAGACACTACAATAATAACCACAGTAGCACCATCATCATCTGAAGAATCTACTACAGCAACTGTACCTGCCACTACAACAGTAACAACAGTTGCACCATCATCATCTGAAGAATCTACTACAGCAACTCTATCAGACAGTACAACAGTAACAACAGTTGCACCATCATCATCTGAAGAATCTACTACAGCAACTGTATCAGACACTACAATAGTAACAACAGTTGCACCATCATCATCTGAAGAATCTACTACAGCAACTGTACCTGCCACTACAACAGTAACAACAGTTGCACCATCATCATCTGAAGAATCTACTACAGCAACTGTATCAGACACTACAACAATAACCACAGTAGCACCATCATCATCTGAAGAATCTACTACAGCAACTGTACCTGCCACTACAACAGTAACAACAGTTGCACCATCATCATCTGAAGAATCTACTACAGCAACTGTATCAGACACTACAATAGTAACCACAGTAGCTCCATCATCATCTGAAGAATCTACTACAGCAACTGTACCTGCCACTACAACAGTAACAACAGTTGCACCATCATCATCTGAAGAATCTACTACAGCAACTGTATCAGACACTACAATAGTAACCACAGTAGCTCCATCATCATCTGAAGAATCTACTACAGCAACTGTACCTGCCATTACAACAGTAACAACAGTTGCACCATCATCATCTGTAGAATCTACTACAGCAACTGTATCAGACACTACAATGGTAACCACAGTAGCACCATCATCATCTGAAGAATCTACTACAGCAACTGTACCTGCCACTACAGTAGTAACAACAGTTGCACCATCATCATCTGAAGAATCTACTACAGCAACTGTATCAGACACTACAATAATAACCACAGTAGCACCATCATCATCTGAAGAATCTACTACAGCAACTGTACCTGCCACTACAACAGTAACAACAGTTGCACCATCATCATCTGAAGAATCTACTACAGCAACTCTATCAGACACTACAACAGTAACAACAGTTGCACCATCATCATCTGAAGAATCTACTACAGCAACTGTATCAGACACTACAATAGTAACAACAGTTGCACCATCATCATCTGAAGAATCTACTACAGCAACTGTACCTGCCACTACAACAGTATCTACAGTTGCACCATCATCATCTGAAGAATCTACTACAGCAACTGTATCAGACACTACAATAGTTACCACAGTAGCACCATCATCATCTGAAGAATCTACTACAGCAACTGTACCTGCCACTACAACAGTAACAACAGTTGCACCATCATCATCTGAAGAATCTACTACAGCAACTGTATCAGACACTACAATAGTAACCACCGTAGCACCATCATCATCTGAAGAATCTACTACAGCAACTGTACCTGCCACTACAACAGTAACAACAGTTGCACCATCATCATCTGAAGAATCTACTACAGCAACTGTATCAGACACTACAACAATAACCACAGTAGCACCATCATCATCTGAAGAATCTACTACAGCAACTGTACCTGCCACTACAACAGTAACAACAGTTGCACCATCATCATCTGAAGAATCTACTACAGCAACTGTATCAGACACTACAATAGTAACCACAGTAGCTCCATCATCATCTGAAGAATCTACTACAGCAACTGTACCTGCCACTACAACAGTAACAACAGTTGCACCATCATCATCTGAAGAATCTACTACAGCAACTGTATCAGACACTACAATAGTAACCACCGTAGCACCATCATCATCTGAAGAATCTACTACTGCAACTGTATCAGACACTACAATAATAACAACAGTTGCACCATCATCATCTGAAGAATCTACTACAGCAACTGTACCTGCCACTACAACAGTAACAACAGTAGCACCATCATCATCTGAAGAATCTACTACAGCAACTGTATCGGACACTACAATAGTAACCACAGTAGCTCCATCATCATCTGAAGAATCTACTACAGCAACTGTATCAGACACTACAATAATAACAACAGTTGCACCATCATCATCTGAAGAATCTACTACAGCAACTGTACCTGCCACTACAACAGTAACAACAGTTGCACCATCATCATCTGAAGAATCTACTACAGCAACTGTATCAGACACTACAACAATAACCACAGTAGCACCATCATCATCTGAAGAATCTACTACAGCAACTCTATCAGACAGTACAACAGTAACAACAGTTGCACCATCATCATCTGAAGAATCTACTACAGCAACTGTACCTGCCACTACAACAGTAACAACAGTTGCACCATCATCATCTGAAGAATCTACTACAGCAACTGTATCAGACACTACAATAGTAACCACCGTAGCACCATCATCATCTGAAGAATCTACTACAGCAACTGTACCTGCCACTACAACAGTAACAACAGTTGCACCATCATCATCTGAAGAATCTACTACAGCAACTGTATCAGACACTACAACAATAACCACAGTAGCACCATCATCATCTGAAGAATCTACTACAGCAACTGTACCTGCCACTACAACAGTAACAACAGTTGCACCATCATCATCTGAAGAATCTACTACAGCAACTGTATCAGACACTACAATAGTAACCACAGTAGCTCCATCATCATCTGAAGAGTCTACTACAGCAACTGTACCTGCCACTACAACAGTCACAACAGTTGCACCATCATCATCTGAAGAATCTACTACAGCAACTGTATCAGACACTACAATAGTAACCACCGTAGCACCATCATCATCTGAAGAATCTACTACAGCAACTGTATCAGACACTACAACAGTAACAACAGTAGCACCATCATCATCTGAAGAATCTACTACAGCAACTGTATCAGACACTACAATAGTAACCACAGTAGCTCCATCGTCATCTGAAGAATCTACTACAGCAACTGTACCTGCCACTACAACAGTAACAACAGTTGCACCATCATCATCTGAAGAATCTACTACAGCAACTGTATCAGACACTACAATAGTAACCACCGTAGCACCATCATCATCTGAAGAATCTACTACAGCAACTGTATCAGATACTACAATAATAACAACAGTTGCACCATCATCATCGGAAGAATCTACTACAGCAACTGTACCTGCCACTACAACATTAACAACAGTAGCACCATCATCATCTGAAGAATCTACTACAGCAACTGTATCGGACACTACAATAGTAACCACAGTAGCTCCATCATCATCTGAAGAATCTACTACAGCAACTGTATCAGACACTACAATAATAACAACAGTTGCACCATCATCATCTGAAGAATCTACTACAGCAACTGTACCTGCCACAACAACAGTAACAACAGTAGCACCATCATCATCTGAAGAATCTACTACAGCAACTGTATCAGACACTACAATAGTAACCACAGTAGCAGAATCATCATCTGAAGAATCTACTACAGCAACTGTACCTGCCACTACAACAGCAACAACAGTTGCACCATCATCATCTGAAGAATCTACTACAGCAACTGTATCAGACACTACAATAGTTACCACTGTAGCACAATCATCATCTGAAGAATCTACTACAGCAACTGTATCAGACACTACAACAGTAACAACAGTTGCACCATCATCATCTGAAGAATCTACTACAGCAACTGTACCTGCCACTACAACAGTAACAACAGTTGCACCATCATCATCTGAAGAATCTACTACAGCAACTGTATCAGACACTACAATAGTAACCACAGTAGCTCCATCATCATCTGAAGAATCTACTACAGCAACTGTACCTGCCACTACAACAGTAACAACAGTTGCACAATCATCATCTGAAGAATCTACTACATCAACTGTATCAGACACTACAATAGTAACCACCGTAGCACCATCATCATCTGAAGAATCTACTACAGCAACTGTATCAGACACTACAATAATAACAACAGTTGCACCATCATCATCTGAAGAATCTACTACAGCAACTGTACCTGCCACTACAACAGTAACAACAGTAGCACCATCATCATTTGAAGAATCTACTACAGCAACTGTATCGGACACTACAATAGTAACAACAGTAGCTCCATCATCATCTGAAGAATCTACTACAGCAACTATATCAGACACTACAATAATAGCAACAGTTGCACCATCATCATCTGAAGAATCTACTACAGCAACTGTACCTGCCACTACAACAGTAACAACAGTAGCACCATCATCATCTGAAGAATCTACTACAGCAACTTTATCGGACACTACAATAGTAACAACAGTAGCACCATCATCATCTGAAGAATCTACTACAACAACTGTTTCTGCCACTACAACAGTAACAACAGTTGCACCATCATCATTTGAAGAATCTACTACAGCAACTGTATCAGACACTACAATAGTAACCACAGTAGCAGAATCATCATCTGAAGAATCTACTACAGCAACTGTACTTGCCACTACAACAGCAACAACAGTTGCACCATCATCATCTGAAGAATCTACTACAGCAACTGTATCAGACACTACAATAGTTACCACTGTAGCACAATCATCATCTGAAGAATCTACTACAGCAACTGTATCAGACACTACAACAGTAACAACAGTAGCACCATCATCATCTGAAGAATCTACTACAGCAACTGTATCAGACACTACAATAGTTACCACTGTAGCACCATCATCATCTGAAGAATCTACTACAGCAACTGTACCTGCCACTACAACAGACACCACAGTAGCACCATCATCTGAAGAAGAATCTACTACAGCAACTGTACCTGCCACTACAACAGTAACAACAGTAGCACCATCATCATCTGAAGAATCTACTACAGCAACTGTATCAGACACTACAATAGTAACCACAGTAGCACCATCATCATCTGAAGAATCTACTACAGCAACTGTACCTGCCACTACAACAGTAACAACAGTAGCACCATCATCATCTGAAGAATCTACTACAGCAACTGTATCAGACACTACAATAGTAACCACAGTAGCACCATCATCTTCTGAAGAATCTACTACAGCAACTGTATCAGACACTACAATAGTAACCACAGTAGCACCATCATCATCTGAAGAATCTACTACAGCAACTGTACCTGCCACTACAACAGTAACAACAGTAGCACCATCATCATCTGAAGAATCTACTAAAACAACTGTATCAGACACTACAATAGTAACAACAGTAGCACCATCATCATCTGAAGAATCTACTACAGCTACTGTATCAGACACTACAATAATAACAACAGTTGCACCATCATCATCTGAAGAATCTACTACAGCAACTGTACCTGCCACTACAACAGTAACAACAGTAGCACCATCATCATCTGAAGAATCTACTACAGCAACTGTATCGGACACTACAATAGTAACCACAGTAGCTCCATCATCATCTGAAGAATCTACTACAGCAACTGTATCAGACACTACAATAATAACAATAGTTGCACCATCATCATCTGAAGAATCTACTACAGCAACTGTATCAGACACTACAATAGTAACCACAGTAGCACCATCATCATCTGAAGAATCTACTACAGCAACTGTATCAGACACTACAATAGTAACAACAGTAGCAGAATCATCATCTGAAGAATCTACTACAGCAACTGTACCTGCCACTACAACAGCAACAACAGTTGCACCATCATCATCTGAAGAATCTACTACAGCAACTGTATCAGACACTACAATAGTTACCACTGTAGCACAATCATCATCTGAAGAATCTACTACAGCAACTGTATCAGACACTACAACAGTAACAACAGTTGCACCATCATCTGAAGAATCAACTACAGCAACTGTATCAGACACTACAATAGTTACCACTGTGGCACCATCATCATCTGAAGAATCTACTACAGCAACTGTACCTGCCACTACAACAGACACCACAGTAGCACCATCATCATCTGAAGAATCTACTACAGCAACTGTATCAGACACTACAATAGTAACAACAGTTTCACCATCATCATCTGAAGAATCTACTACAGCAACTGTACCTGCCACTACAACAGTAACAACAGTAGCACCATCATCATCTGAAGAATCTACTACAACAACTGTACCTGCCACTACAACAGTAACAACAGTTGCACCATCATCATCTGAAGAATCTACTACAGCAACTGTGTCAGACACTACAATAGTAACCACAGTAGCAGAATCATCATCTGAAGAATCTACTACAGCAACTGTACCTGCCACTACAACAGCAACAACAGTTGCACCATCATCATCTGAAGAATCTACTACAGCAACTGTATCAGACACTACAATAGTTACCACTGTAGCACAATCATCATCTGAAGAATCTACTACAGCAACTGTATCAGACACTACAACAGTAACAACAGTTGCACCACCATCTGAAGAATCTACTACAGCAACTGTATCAGACACTACAATAGTTACCACTGTGGCACCATCATCAGCTGAAGAATCTACTACAGCAACTGTACCTGCCACTACAACAGACACCACAGTAGCACCATCATCATCTGAAGAATCTACTACAGCAACTGTATCAGACACTACAATAGTAACAACAGTTTCACCATCATCATCTGAAGAATCTACTACAGCAACTGTACCTGCCACTACAACAGTAACAACAGTAGCACCATCATCATCTGAAGAATCTACTACAACAACTGTACCTGCCACTACAACAGTAACAACAGTTGCACCATCATCATCTGAAGAATCTACTACAGCAACTGTGTCAGACACTACAATAGTAACCACAGTAGCAGAATCATCATCTGAAGAATCTACTACAGCAACTGTACCTGCCACTACAACAGCAACAACAGTTGCACCATCATCATCTGAAGAATCTACTACAGCAACTGTATCAGACACTACAATAGTTACCACTGTAGCACAATCATCATCTGAAGAATCTACTACAGCAACTGTATCAGACACTACAACAGTAACAACAGTTGCACCATCATCTGAAGAATCTACTACAGCAACTGTATCAGACACTACAATAGTTACCACTGTGGCACCATCATCATCTGAAGAATCTACTACAGCAACTGTACCTGCCACTACAACAGAAACCACAGTAGCACCATCATCATCTGAAGAATCTACTACAGCAACTGTATCAGACACTACAATAGTAACAACAGTTTCACCATCATCATCTGAAGAATCTACTACAGCAACTGTACCTGCCACTACAACAGTAACAACAGTAGCACCATCATCATCTGAAGAATCTACTACAGCTACTGTATCAGACACTACAATAGTAACAACAGTAGCACCATCATCATCTGAAGAATCTACTACAGCAACTGTACCTGCCACTACAACAGTAACCACAGTAGCACCATCATCATCTGAAGAATCTACTACAGCAACTGTACCTGCCACTACAACAGTAACAACGGTAGCACCATCATCATCTGAAGAATCTACTACAGCAACTGTATCAGACACTACAATAGAATCCACAGTAGCACCATCATCATCTGAAGAATCTACTACAGCAACTGTACCTGCCACTACAACAGTAACAACAGTAGCACCATCATCATCTGAAGAATCTACTACAGCAACTGTACCAGCCACTACAACAGTAACAACAGTAGCACCATCATCATCTGAAGAATCTACTACAGCAACTGTATCAGACACTACAATAGTAACCACAGTAGCACCATCATCATCTGAAGAATCTACTATAGGATCATCAACTCCAGCAACATCAACTGTATCATCTTTAGAGACAACATCATCATCTACAGCCTTAAGTCCAGCAGCTACGACAGCATCATCTTCAACTACAACCATAGCCACCACTACAGAACTATCTACAACAATAAGTCAAGCAACCACAACTTCATCACCTACATCTACAACTTCATTAACAACAACAACAGTATCTACAGCAGCAACTCCTGCAAATACTACTGAATCATCTACAAGTCCAGCCACCACAACATCACCATCTATAGCAACAACAGCAACAAGTCCAGCCACCACAACTTCATCAACTACATCTACAACTCCATTAACAACAACATTACCTACAACAGAATCTTCTACAACAATAAGTCAAGCAACCCCAACATCATCATCTACAGCAACTACTAGTCCAGTAACTACATCATCTTCAACAACTCCAGCCACCACAACAGCATCTATAACAACACCAGCAGTAACTAGTCCAGTAACAACAACATTATATACAGCAACTCAGTCAACCACAATATTATCTTCTATAGCAACAACAACAGCAACCAGTCCAGCAACCACAACATCATCTACAACAACTCCAGCTACCACATCTGCATCGTCTATTGCAACAACAACAGCAACCAGTCCAGCAACCACAACATCAGCTACACCTCTAGCTATCACAACAGCATCATCTCTAGCAACAACAACAGCATCTAGTCCAGCAACCACAACATCATCTACAACAACTCAAGCTTATACAACAGCGTCATCTATAGCAACAACAGCAACAACCAGTCCAGCAACAACAACATCATCTACAACAACTCCAGCTACCACATCTGCATCGTCTATTGCATCAACAACAGCATCTAGTCCAGTAACCACATTATCTTCTTCAACTCTGGCTACTACAACAGCTTCATCTATAGCAACAGCAGCAGCAACCAGTCCAGCAACAACATCGTCTACACCAACTCAATCTACAGCAACCAGTCCAGCAACAACATCGTCTACACCAACTCAATCTACAGCAACAACAGCAACCAGTCCAGCAACAACATCGTCTACAACAACTCAAGCTACAGCAACCAGTCCAGCAACAACAACATCATCAGTAGCAACCATGACATCACCTACAGTAACAACTACAATGACCCCACCATCCACAACAGCTTTGCCATCAACTAGCCAGCCCACATTAACTACATATCTAACAACAAAACTAACTACCCTCCAAGCTGATACCACAACATCCATGCCTACCACCATGCCTTCAGGTATTATTTTTAAGATTGTTTTAAAATGTAAATTTTGTTTTATTGCTTTGTAATCTTAATATGTAAATTCAAGTCACATTTAAGAAGTTCCTTTTAAATACTTATCTCATATTAGGAAAAGGACACTACCCCTTGTAAACTACTACCCATCTTCCCCTGACATTACCACTAGATTAGTTTACTTGGGCAATTACCTCCCATGATTATTACTCTCTCTTCCTTCATCACTAACACTACTCTTTGTGAGTTGGATGATGAATAGACACAGCATGTGAAATCAATCAATTCATTTTAGGCATAGTTAGTATACTCCACCATATGAGCATACACAGCTCACCCAATAAAAGCTACCTTGTGCCTACAACACCATGAAATTACTTTCCGAGTAATTATTAAATGGGCAATTTTACAGGGGTAAATTATCTAGAAGCTGTTGGGTAATCACACAGGCTAGTGGCTTGGGATAATGTCCTAGACTGCTTCTTACAAACTACATTTTTTTTATTTACTAAAATTGATTGTATCAATTGTATTCACAGATGATAAAGTGCAACAAGGTAAGAGAAATAGATTCAGCTGTTGGTGATATTCTAGCTTGTGTGATATAGTTATCGTAGCTGTGTGTCACATCAATGATAGTCTTTAAGATTATTTTGTTTGTGTCCTCAGTACTTGTAAGATATTGTAGCTATGTGTCACATCAATGATAGTCTTTAAGATTGTTGTTTGTTTCCTCAGCCCTGTACGAGTTTGGGGCCAATGCTGGAGACTTTAATATTACACTTGCAGAGAGCTTAAGCCAAACTGTTTACTTTAGCAATGGGGTGCCATTTGGATCTAGCGTCATGTCATATGCTCATGTAAGTTGTACATTAATTCACTTGATGGGGTGCCATGTGTAATATATTTGTAATATGATGTAAGGTGTAATTAACTAAATACATTTATTGATGTGATGGTGTGTTTGTTGTAGTCCTACAGAGATGATATCTAATTTCAATTTTTATCCTAGGTTTTTTATTGATACACAATAACATTAATATTTAAAACTAAATATTAGACTGCTATACATATAAATCAAATTCTTGAGATAAATTTCATTAAGTACTACATCATATAAACATTTAAAAATCTAAAATATTGTGCAATTTCTGTTCAGCTATAAACATATAATTCATTAGCTTGAATAAAAATACTGTGCAGGTTATGTTCAAGTATAAACATAAAATGAATCACTAGCCCTATTTCATTAATTAAGCATAAAATGAATTCAATTTTTGTTTAGGTTTTGTTCAACGGTGCTCTAACTTTTGTTTAGGTTTTGTTCAACAGTGCTCTAACTTTTGTTTAGGTTTTGTTCAACGGTGCTCTAACTTTTGTTTAGGTTTTGTTCAATGGTGCTCTAACTTTTGTTTAGGTTTTGTTCAACGGTGCTCTAACTTTTGTTCAGGTTTTGTTCAACGGTGCTCTAACTTTTGGTGAGCCCAGGACAGCCAACTCACAGAACTTGCAGGCTGCGTATTCCCGTGGTCAGAGTGTTGTGGCCCCATTCTGGACCACGATGGACCCATGTGACCAGTCTCAGAAAGTCTGGTACCACTTGTACGAGTCCCAGAGAACTTCTGGCTCTTATTTTTATTCACCGCAACTCAACAAAACTTTAGAGAAAGCTTCCAGAGAGGTAAGGTTACATTTTAAACATTTTTTTGCTGCTTTGCTGGAATGTGATTCTTTTATACTGCTTTATTATTGATGTGTAGGCATACTAAATAGCTGGGTACAGATGTAAATTATATACTTGTAGATTATCATAATTTTCTTTTACTAATATAAGCCTATCTGTTATATTTGCTAGACAGTATTTAAACATTACTCCAAATTTTTGTCATACTATAATTATAATGGCTAGTGCTAATATCTTCATGCTGTTACAGGTAGCTACGTTTTATCCCAGCTCTGGAGATTTTAAGGCGTCGACCGTTCTTGTGGCCACATGGGACAGTGTGCGCCCCCTGGCGTGGTACTCATGCAGTAACAACGCCAGCTCACAGGTAAGTGCCAAGAGAATTGTCCTTGTGGTCATCATATCATGTTCACTACATTAATACTAATAGTTTTGCTGTCTGTCTATCTATCTATCTGACAAGAACGCTCTAGAGAAAACACAAGCAAATTAAAAACATGCATAGTAATTCGAAAAACGAAGTATGAGGTCGTCACATTTAGCATAGAGTAGAAAATAATCTCAAGCCGGAGAGTGCACACAGTAATATTTCTTCTTCTTCTTCTTCGTTCTTAATTATTAGTGTTGAAGGGGATCGAGATTTATCTGCCAGTGGGTTTGAACTCGAGACTGTTCGAATTTATCAACCATGAGCTTTTTTGCCGACTCGACCACGCCTCCAACGCAATTAAGCGTTACGTGTCAACTGGTTATGCGCCATTGAGGCCATTGACTCCGATTTCAGCCTGCTTTTCTTTTTGGATTTGCTTCCATAGCCTTTGTCCAACAAAGAACAAACTACAAGGCAGCAGTTGTTTAATTTTGGAGTTGTCTCTCCTAGAAGAGTGACTGTCCCCAGCTAACGAGCCTCATCTGCCCGAGGGTTCGAACTCGAGACTTTTCGGTTTAGCAACCATGAGCTTTACCGACTCGACCACGCCGACCCCCACACAGTAATATGACGTCATTGATTCTCGAGTAAACATTGAATAAAAAGGAAATTTTGTCTAATCTAAGTGGTTTGCGTGAAGAGTTTCTTTCATACAATTCTTTGGGTAGGGGCGAAGCCCCACCCCTGCGTAAGAACGTCTGAGCCCCCCCCCCCCCTCCCCAACTCAAAAGAAATTTCCTCATCGATACTCTATAATAAAATTACCGCCTAATTAATGTGTCTAATCTAAAAAGTGGTTTTCTTGCAATTTCTTTAATGCAATTCTTTGGGTAGTGGCTAAGCGCGACACCAGTGTTTCTTTCAGACTTTTTCCTCCCGGAGAGGGGTGGGGGGTACTTGAAATTTTCGGGGGCGGGGGTAGAATTTTCGGGGAGGGGGCGGACACTGGAAAAAGTATATAATTATATTTCGTTGAATGGGACGGTAGACATGTTTTTTTGGGGGTGGGGGGTGGTGTGTGTGGGGGGGGGGGGGGGGGTGGGGTGGTTTTAGTTTAGAGAAAAGAGACAGCACTATCAGCCTAGCGCCCGTTGTATCCTTCCTCAACGGGCCATTTTTCTTGTTATTTATATAAACACTGTATTTTGAAAACATTAAAATACGTATCATAAACTAGTATCATAATACAGTTTCTTTTATACATGAATGGGATTGTAAATCCAAATCTGTTCAGTCTGAATCCCAGTAACAAACTAATTAAGAACCTTTAGCTTAAGCCATCCCTGAATCACACAAAGTATGGACAAAATAATAATTACTTCCAATACTCTAGACCCCTGCTAAATTACTTATTCACTCACTTTCAGATACATGTTATTAAAATTGGCTGGGTAGAAATTTTTCCTAATGTACTTTACTATGATTTTAGCATTTTGGTACAATATTACAAATTTCTGCCTCTACCAGAAACTGTGAGAAAAATATTGTTTTGTTCTAGGCACCAGAAACTAAAAAAAATAATTGTTTCCTTCTAGGCACCAGAAACGAACACCTTCCAGCTGATCTACGCAACAGATGGTGAAAAGGCTTACACCATTACCATGTATAAGAGTAACGGCATGTCGTGGAGTTACGTACAGAACAGACGTATTGTGGTGGGCTATGTCAACCCTAATACTGTTAGAGACCTGGGGGTGACCAGCACTGTCTTGACCACTTACCTGGGACAAAGCGTTGGCACTGCAGGTACAGCTCTCATATGTTTGTACACTAAATGCATAGATCTAATACACATGTTTAAAATTAGCAACTATCAACTAGTTGTCCTTTAAAATGTTATGTTTTTGATCCTGGACTTTTTCTCAGTCATTTCTCATCAACACTGATACAATGAAATAAAATTGCATGTTATATGTTAACCATCTTTCTGCATACAAAATTTTAGGATTGTTGCAAAAATAATGGTTTTTTTTTTAGAATTTCAAAAAACATTCATTTACATTCAGCACCAATGCACGATGGCTTGCTGATTAATTAAAAAGAGCACAAAGTTGCTAATTACTTTTGCTGTTTATGTATATAAATAGTCTATTTCTTGATTGTTGAGAACAATCAAGTTTAAATTTATTTTCAAAATGGTTAATTTCATTTTGGCTATTCAGACTGCTTTTGTTAAATTAGCTTTAAGTTAAGGAAAATGGCTTTTAGGTAAATTGCTTTTGTGTAACTGGCTTATGGGGTCTTTATATATAACTATATGTACCCTGTTATATTGTTCTACACTGTCTTTTTTAGTGATGGCAGAATCTTTCTTATTTCCGTGCATAATCAATAATATAACAAGTTCAAAAGAATAATACTATATGAAACTAGTCTTTTCTCCTACATTATAGCTATTATCATTGAGTCATACACTACACACAATCTATCAAATAACTAAAACGACATCTCATACTCTCAAACCATATTGACTACTGTCAGTACAAACTAGCTTTAAATAGTCCTTAATAATTTCCCTACCTTAAATTAATCTAAATTTTCTTTTACTAAAGTAGGCCCCTTATTTTATATATTGGCTAGAGAGTATTTAGACATTACTCTAAATTGTTTAGTCCAGTCACATACAAATCTACACCATGACAGAGGGTCCTCTTCTATCAACCCTGTACAGATATGTATCTTATGTGTTATGTTTGTTTACTTGACCCCAGGGAGGTATGGGACGTACATTGATAAAGTGGGTGAAGCCCAAAACCAGGCCCAGAGATGCAGCAACTTCTACCAGAAGAACATAGCCCTGGCGGAGAGCGCCAAGTTCAAGCAGGACATGGACCAGCTGTTCCAGTGTCCCTGCACGTTGGAGAGGCTGGGGAAGCAGTGGTGGCTGTTGGAGCAGAGGGGCGCCAACAACAACATCTACTGCTACGCCATAACTCCACTACACCTCAGCAAGGTTCTGCCTGGGAACAAGTTAAATAAAGTAAGAAATTGTTTTTGCTTTAAAATACAATCGTTTAATGTTTGTTTGCAAATAATTTAACTTTTAGTTGATCAATCAGAATAAAAAAATACTTTATAAGCCACTGATATAGGAATCTTATTATGTTCCCAAACAGTTTTTATTGTGAATCATTAAGGTGTTAAAGAAGGGGAACAATTTCTTGTTTTGTTAATAAGCAAAAATATATTCCAGCTTTTAGACCTAATTTCTTTTGTTTTAACAAATCTTGCTTTTGTTAAGGCTTCTCTAAACTTTTAAAATTGTATTATTGTAATGATAAATAGATCTACTACAAGCAAATCAAAATGTAATATTTATCAAAATTTTTGTAATTTATTTAATAAATGTCTTTAATTATTTAATTTACAACAACAAAGGTTTTCACTATTAAATATTTTATCATGTAATGAATTAGAAAACAAATGTTGAATAATTTTGCCAATTTTAACACTTCAAGTAGTTAAAATGTTGGTAATTTCCGGTGAATTAATTTGACTTATTTCCTCCCTAGCTCTGCTGCTACCTGTACGAGCCCCCCACAGGTAATTCCAGTGATTGGCGGCAGTGGTCCAACGCCTGGCGTAATGCCCATTACATCACAGGTGTGCCTGAGGCTGGACATATCCTGACACAAGATCCGTTTGGTGACCTGCGCAGGTCAGCTGAGGAGGACATGAACCCAAAGATTTGGTGCTGTAAGGATTCTACCAGGCAACACTGTGACCTCTTCAACCAGGTCAGGCCTGATATGGGCTGTAGCCTCAGTGCTGAATATGTAACTGGTGAGTATAGTTAACTACCCTTTCCAACACAAGTTACTATTACTTGCCATGGCTGCAGAGCACTAGACTGCTAACCTGAAAGTCTTGAGTTTGGATCCCAGGCTTAAGTCAGCAGGATGTTCCTGAGTGCGTTAAGCTCTGATTGGTACTTGACTCACATTAGGGAAACAAAGGCGGCTGGGCATAGTGCTGACCACACTATCCCTTCCTAAGCCGAGGTAATTAAAACAGATGAAGAATCCTACATCTGCCCCATGTGTCTTGCCCACAAACGTGAATAGATGGTGATGGTTCTAAATATTTTCTGAGTTATCATTTTAAAAGTTTGACATTTGAGTTTTGCAAACTGATTTTCATTTTTCATGAGTCAATGTGCTGAATTTTTTGCCATGGGGGGAGGGGGGGTTGTATTTTTTTTATCTTTAAAATAATTCTAATGAAACAGTATTTTTTTATTTTTCTTATTCTTCTAATGTAAATCTTATATAGAGGAGATACATATTCCTTATTGATATAGAAGATAATCCTTGTTAACTACTCCTCAGCTGATTTTTACGGTGACCCCCATATTGTGACTTTGGACATGAACAATTACACCTTGAATGGGTGGGCTGAGTACACTATGATGGACATCAAGGAGAAAAATTTTATGCTTCAGGTCTGTTGAGGCAGATTTCATTTATTTCTCTTACTTTTATCTGGTTTGAGTATTTTAATTATACGTCTGGATAGTGTTGATTAGAATGTGTACACTATTTAGTAATACAACTGTTAAAAAATTTGGTAAATATCGACTCTAGAAATGCAAGATAATTTTTATCTATTAAAAATATATAACTTTTTAAATATTGTTTTTGCTATAAATATTTTAATTTTGAATAATGAAACAAAACTGTTAAATATTTTTGTATTTGAATACTTAAAAAGCTCAAAGTCTATGAATAATGAAACAAAACTGTTGAATATTTTTGTGGTTGAATAGGCCTACTTAAAAAGCTCAGTCTATTAATAATGAATTAAAACTGTTGAATATTTTTGTGTTTGAATACTTAAAAAGCTCAATGTCTATGAGTAATGAAACAAAACTGTTGAATATCTTTCAGACTAGGACAGACCGTGCAGAGAGTGCTAATGGATCCTTGACAAACGCAACAGTGTTTGTGGCCTTTGCTGCCAGACAACTCAATACAGCAAGACTGCAAGTGGAGCTTTCTCTGAGCAAAACTGGTGAGTAGGTGGGAGATTAGGCTACATTTTTGGCCTCGGATACAGATTTAACTCTACATTTCATGCTCTGAGGGAGATCCAAACTCTACATTTTATGCTGAGTTTGAGAGAAAGGAATTAAATGGAGATTGTGATTAGTACTATGCCATAAGGGCTTGTGAAAAAATGGACAATGTGGTAGCTTTATTTCTTTTTTCAGTTAATTACATTTATTAAGTTACATGTTTCCTGTTGTATGCTATTGTTGTCTATTTTCCTAAATTAGTATTTTTAGCTTTGGCCATCTACTTCCATGTGTCACTATCTTTAACTTAATAGCTACAATATGTTAAGCTATGACCATCTATTTAATTTTGTCAATATTTTTAGCTATAATCATCTACTTAATATCTACAATAATTTTAGCTATGATCATCTACTTCATTGTGTCAATATCATTAATCATATACTTAATATCTATATTATCATAAGCTATGACCATCTACTTAATATCTACAATATCCTAAGCTATAACCATTTACTTAATATCTACAATATCTTTAGCTATCAACAGCTACCTAATTGTGTCAATATGTTTAGCTATGACCATCCACTTAGTTGTATCAATTTCATTTATCATCTACTTAATATCTACAATATCTTAAGCTATGACCATCTACTTAATTGTGTCAATATCTTTTGCTATCACCATCTACTTCAATGTGTTAATATCTTTAACCATTTACCTTATTGTGTCAATATCTTTAACGATCTACTTTATCAATATGTTTAACTTAATATCTACCATATCTATAGCTATGACCATCTTTGGGGACGACCAGGACCTGACCACTGAGTTTTATGCCAACACAGACTTTAGGAAGTCTTTGGAAAACTTCACAGTAGAGCGGGATGACACTGGCAACAAAACCTACCTCATTGCCTCGTTTCCTGCAGGTAGTTTGTTGTCAGTTGCCACACTGTCACTTTTAAAATTGTCACTTGTCACAAAGTCATGTCCAACTGTCACCATGCATACTGTCACTTGTCAAAGCTGTCATTTGTCACAGAGTCATGTCAAACTATCACCATCCACATTTTCGCATCTCAAAATTGTCACAATGTCATGTCCAACTGTCACCATCCATACTGTCACTTGTCAAAACTGTAGCAAGCAAAACCGTCCTATTAAAGTTACTGTAAGACTGTTACACATTCATTTCATGCCAACTTGCTGAAGCATTAAATCCACTTTCCACCCCCCCCCCCCTTCAGGAGTGAGCCTAAAGATCTCCATAGGACTCAAAAGTTTGGACCTGACTGTTGAGCTTACTAAAAATCTGGCCGGAAAAACAACTGGACTTCTGGGAAATTTTAATGGAAATCCTTCAGATGATTTTGTTCTTCCAAATGGCACAGTTCTCAATTCAAGTCAAACTGATACTGAAAGAAAAATCTTCGAAAACTTTGGAAAACAATGTAAATATTTGAAACATTTGATACTTTTTTATTTTTGAAGATTTTGTCTGAAGATTACTTGAATAAGGATTTACTTGTAAGTAAAGTGTTTATTTAAAGCAGAGCTCTGTATTTCTTAAATTAATTCTTTAAATATCTTTCAGGGGAGGTAACAGAGAGTAACACTATTTTTAAATACAAGTATGGAGAGAGTGCTAAAAACTACAGCCACCCAGAGTTCGTGCCCTTGTTCAAGGAGGAAGCGAATCAGGCAGATATGGCTGCTGCAGTAGCACTATGTGGCAACAATGATGCTTGTGTCTTTGATTATCTGGCCACTGGGAGTAAGGCTTTTGCTGGCCTGACCAAGTCCACTAGTGATGAGTCCACGGCTACGAGAGTTTCTTTATGTAAGTTTTTAGCACTAGTGATGAGTCCACAGCTACTAGAGTTTCCTTATGTAAGTTTTTAACACTAATTCTTTTCTGTTTATTACAACTGCACAGGCTACTATTATTTAAGCATTGGTTGCTTTAGTGTCCCTGTGTAGGCTATTTTTCTTTATTGATGTTGTCATTTAGTGTATGTTTACTTTTACATAGCTTAATTTCCCACACTAACATACAGCATTTGTTTCATTAACCAACAATTAGGCCAACACTAATCCCTAGATCCAAAACTATCCTTTCATATCCTGCCAACAGTTTAAAATATTTCCCCTCATATCCTACTAACAGTTTAAAATATTTCCCTTTTTCTCCTACCAAAAGCCAACAGTTTAAAATATTTCCCTTAATCATTAACTTAATCTCCTGCCTGCAGCCAACAGTTTGCCCATGTTGAATGTCACCTCTGGACTCAACAACAACAGCCAGTGGGAGGTTGTGGCCAACAAACCAGCGACCCTCACTGTCCGTGCCACTGACCCTGACGGTGACGCCATCACTTATGTCATACTCAACAATGTCAAAGGAGTCTCCATCGCAAACAATGGAACTATTTTCTATAATTTACCCAACCCCAATGAGCCTGTGTCTATCGTGTAAGTTACATTTTATTGGTTTCTAAATTTTAAATAAAGAGCCAAGAGCTGTTACATTCTACTGTTTGGTAATGAAAACCTAGCATAAAATATGAACCACTGTATGTCACCTAATTACAAAGTAGAGAACTATATAATTTAATACAATACCAATAGCACGAATTATTTTCAAGTTATATTAAAGTTTTTGTCCTCTGCCTGATTTAGTCAAGAATTTTATCTTCTCATTATAAAGTACTCTGTTGATTTATAATGTATTGAGTTATTTTTAAAGCCTTAACTTCTCGAGAGTGTTTTTTTTTGTTTTTTAAGTAATTCATCAACAAGAAATAAAATTTTCTCTAAAACCAAACATCTTAGGGTCAGTAAGTAATTCGTCAACAAGCAATTAAATTTTCTCTAAAATGAAACATCTTAGGGTCAGTAAATAATTTATCAACAAGAAATTAACCTTTCTCTAAAATGAAACATCTTAGGGTCATTGCCAATGATTCCAAAGGAGGACTGTCCAATTCTGTCAACATCCCTGTGTCCATGTGTCCTGACTGTAGTGGACACGGCACTTGTGACCCAAATGTCATCAGGTCATCTGCCAATGGGACAAGCTTTGTTGTGCATGGGTGCAGTTGTTTCCCTGCTTATACAGGTATTACTTCCCCTCTGGTTTACTAATAATAGTAATATGTTTTACATTACATTTTGTTAAGTGAACATTACTGTGAACAATAAATATAAGAATTAAGTTTCATAAGTTTAAATCAACACTCATGTATCACTAAATTTTAAGTCTGTGACTTTTATTCAAAACTATTTACATTTTCTATATTATTTCATTTTGCTGGTAGTCTGTGCCTCTTCTGTTAGCTATTTATTTTGTAATACAAATTGTGTTAAACATAGCAGGCCTACTATTTGTGTTGGCTGTTCTACTGATAGTTAAGTAGTCATAGTAGTTCTACAAAAGTTATTGTTTTATTGATGATCCCATATCGATCACAATGTTACATGTGTAATCTTAAACTGATGAAGTTAGCACAATGGTACATGTGTAAGCTAGTAATCTTATATTGATGACCTTATAGTTATGATCAAAGCTACATGTCAGTTTAAGTGTAAATTGATGATCTGCTCGCTGTACCAGTGTCTCCCATGTTTTACCAGGTGAAAATTGTGATAAAGATTACAACGCGTGTGTAGACTCCCCTTGTGCAGTTGGCCAGAACTGTACAGACATGACAGCAGCTCAACAGGGAAATAACTCTATTGGGTACACATGTGGCCCTTGTCCTACTGGCTATGAGAAGAACACAAGGAACACATGCGTTGGTAAATATATTTCATTGACTTACTGATTGTAATAATTTATCTTTGATGTAAGTGTTTTAAATATATTTCATAGACTTACTAATGATAGTTCCATCTTTTATGAAAACATTTGAATATTTATATACTACAAAAAAATTAAAACATAAGAATTTGTTTATGAAGATTTTAATTATTTTTTTAGACATCAATGAATGCAATGTCAACAATGTTTGTAGCCAGAATTGTACAAACACAGATGGATCCTTTTTCTGTTTTTGCTCCAATGGATTCAGATTGAATTCAGATTTAAAAACATGCAGAGGTATAGGCCTTTTTATTGTTTATAAGTATAAATAAATATCTAATCTATATTTTAGGTTAAAGTGTGAACATTTTATAAAAACTGGTTAAAAGAATAATTGTAAAAAGTTCTTTAACAATATACAATAGTTTTCAATAACAGTTAAAAATATGTAAAATCTCTTTGTTATGAGATTTTCTGTTTACTTCTCTTGGTTATAATGCATTTCTTTTCTTGGTTACAATACTTTCTTTCCCTAAATAAGAATGCTTTATTCCCCTTAGTTATATTTCTTTACTTTCCTTGATTATTAAACATTACTTCCCTTGATTATAAACCGTTACTTCCCTTGATTACAAAACGTTACTTCCCCTGATTTGTTCAGACATCAATGAGTGTGAGGAGCAGACCAACAACTGTGAACAAAAATGTGTCAACGTTGATGGAGGCTACAAGTGTGAATGTCTTGAAGGTTACACCATACAAAATGGCTCTTGCAAACTTGGTAACTTTCTAATTTTCTGCACTTTTTAATCAGGACATCACTTTGTAAATAAAATCTAAATAAAATCTGCAATTGTTTGGCCAAATATAACCTCATCTGTTTACTGTATTTTTACATGACAGATGCTGCTCTGAATACAACCTGTTCAACACTGGCCTGTGGTCAGTTGTGTGTGGTGACCAATGGCCGAGCAACATGTGCATGCAGGCAGGGGTATGCACTACAGGGTGACAACAAGACATGCACCAGTAGGTTTTTTTTTTATTTGATGGTTGAAGCCCTTGATACATAACTAATTTACAAAACCAAAGTCAGATTATTAACTGTATTGGATGGCTTTAATTTGTAATTATTAATGAAATTAATGGTCTTACAAATAAGCATAACATTGAAGGAAATCTGCACACAAAAAAAAATATGCAGAATTTTAAAATATTGAAAACACCAAACAGGTGAAGTCAAACACTTGTGTAGAGGTTATGAAATCAAAAGAGCAAAATGGCTGCTTGGTGTTTCTAGTTTTTTGCTCCTTTAGAATAGACTTTTCTCATCTTTTTATGAAAAATATAATTGTGTTAGATGCCTTGTCTGATCTTTATATGTTTGGTCTTTTGAATTATTTATTCATAAGTAATGCTGGTGTCCTCTTTCAAAGAATTTAATGAGAAGTAATGTGCATTCCCAAACAGATTGTCTATGAGGCAAGTGAAGTAGAGTTCACCTGTTTCAGTGGCAGCGGCTTAGAAGGAATAGTGTGGTCAGTACTAGGCTCATCCACCTTTAACTTTCCCTAATTTCAGTCAGATACCCTATAGAACTGGGTGGATTTAAACTTGAGATTTCCAGTCAAATGCTCTACCAATTGACCAACCTGTTACTTTAAATAATTTAATGACTGCAACCAAATTGTACTCACCATGCCCACAAAATTTCCATTTTTCCACAGATATCAATTTTTTTTTCTCACTGTGCCTACAATCTCTCTCTGTCCCCAGATATCAATGAGTGTAATCTAGCTGTTTTATCTTTCCATGCCTACCATCTTTGTATGTCCACAGATATCAATGAATGTAATCTACCCACTGTGCTTACAATCTCCCTATGTCCCCAGATATCAATGAGTGTAATCTACCCCCTGTGCCTACAATCTCTCCCCAGATATCAATGGGTGTAATCTACCCCCTGTGCCTACAATCTCTCCCCAGATATCAATGGGTGTAATCTACCCCCTGTGCCTACAATCTCTCCCCAGATATCAATGAGTGTAATCTACCCCCTGTGCCTACAATCTCTCCCCAGATATCAATGGGTGTAATCTACCCCCTGTGCCTACAATCTCTCCCCAGATATCAATGGGTGTAATCTACCCCCTGTGCCTACAATCTCTCCCCAGATATCAATGAGTGTAATCTACCCCCTGTGCCTACAATCTCTCCCCAGATATCAATGGGTGTAATCTACCCCCTGTGCCTACAATCTCTCCCCAGATATCAATGAGTGTAATCTACCCCCTGTGCCTACAATCTCTCCCCAGATATCAATGAGTGTAATCTAGCCACTGTGCTTACAATCTCTCCCCAGATATCAATGAGTGTAGTCTAGCCACTGTGCTTACAATCTCTTTATGTCCCCAGATATCAATGAGTGTAATCTAGCTAAGTTTTATCTCTCCATCTACAATCTCTCCCCAGATATCAATGAGTGTGGTCTAGCTAAGTTTTATCTTTCCATCTACAATCTCTCTATGTCTACAGATATCAATGAGTATACTCTACTCACTGTGCCTACAATCTCTCTATGTCCTCAGTTATCAATCAGTGTACTCTACTCACTGTGCCTACAATCTCTATGTCCCCAGATATCAATGAATGTAATCTACCCCCTGTGCCTACAATCTCTCTATATCCCCAGATATCAATGAGTGTGGTCTAGCTAAAAAGCCCTGCAGCCAGACATGTACTGACACAGATGGAGGCTTCAACTGTTCCTGTTACCTTGGTTACTCACTTGCAGCTGACAAAATTTCCTGCACAGGTTTTTTGAAAATTTTAGAACTTATTTTACTGAGACAAAAAAAAATTATAGCAGAGTAAATAGATTGAGGTGTGAAAATAGTGTTTTAATTATTTTGAATTGCTTAGAGAAAACCTTTGTTTATTAAAAACTATTTTGTCTACTGTTATTGTGCAATAAATTAAATTTTTTATTAAATTAAAAAATATAATTTTCAGCTATGTTCTTAAAAACCTGCATCTTATGTTTATTTAATAAGAAAAAAATAATTTTTTCAGCTTGTCCTGCCAAGTATTACGGTGAAAACTGTAAAAGTCTTTGTCAGTGTAATGGCCACGGTACGTGTGACCCAGTACGTGGCTGTGTGTGTAGCCAGGGGTGGGAGGGCACCAACTGTATCACAGACATCAACGAGTGTGAGAGAAGGCTGGACAACTGCTCCACCGGAGAAATTTGTGTCAACTCTGTTGGTGGCTTTAGCTGTGTATGCCCAGCAGGGTACTCAAGGATTAGTGGGACTTGTCAAGGTAACTTTAATGGTGTGGTGTGGTAAGTTATGGGGTGATGTGGCTGTGGTAAATTGTGATGTGGTTGTGGTAATTTGTGGTGTGGTTGTGGTAATTTGTGCTGTGGTTGTGGTAATTTGTAGATGTGGTTGTTGTAACTTATGGCGCAGTGTGGTTAACTGACCTTTATAAGTCAGTGCTGATGAATACCTGACTTGTTTTCTGAAGGCAGCTGGACATTGTTCATAAAAGAGATTAAATAACATTTCTTAAAGTAGGCCATGATCTCCTGGGTAAAATCTATTTGAATTAAAATTAATCTTTCAGATGTGAATGAGTGTGCAGTAGTTAAAATTAACCTTTCATATGTGAATGAATATGCTGTAGTTAAAATTAATCTTTCAGCCGTGAGTGAGTGTGCTGTAGTTAAAATCAACCTTTCAGATGTGAATGAGTGTACTTTAGTTAAAAAAAAATTTCCAGATGTGAATGAGTGTACTTTAGTTAAAAAAAAATTTCCAGATGTGAATGAGTGTACTTTAGTTAAAAAATTTTTCCAGATGTGAGTGAGTGTGCTTTAGTTAAAATAATCTTTCAGACATTAATGAGTGCGCCGACGTTTCAAGTAACACCTGTAACCTGACTGTTGAAACCTGCAGAAATAACATCGGCAGTTACACCTGCAACTGCAAGACAGGTTATGCCAGAAGGAGTGATGGTGTCTGTGCAGGTTTGTGCTAGTTTCTTTTTTTTGCATTGTCACATCAACAGCTAATTAGATATATTGTAGTTGTTTGTTAATCCTCATCACTCCCTGTGGGCAGCAACAAATCTCCGCCATTCCACCCTGTCCTGGGCGAGCCACTTTAGTTCATGCCAGGTCTTGCCAGTAGCCTGTACTTCTTCTTCCATCTCTCTCCTCCATGTTCCCAGTGGTCTTCCTCTCTTTCGCTTTCCAGGCGGAGTCCACTTCAGCGCAATGTTTGGGAGTCTTCTTTTGCTCATACGTTGGACATGACCCAGCCATCTCCATCTCCTCATTTGAACTTCTGAAACAATGTCATTTAATCCTGTCCTTCGCCATATTTCCTTGTACGGGACTTTGTCGTCCCACTTTATTCTGAGGATGCGTTGGAGGGATCTTCTTTCAAATCCTCTGAGTCGGCTCTCTCCTTTCTTGTTTAGTTTCCATGACTCTGCAGCTTAGAGGAGTACAGAACTTGCATTAGACTTGTAGATCGTTATTTTAGTTCTCTGCTATTGTTGTATCAGACCCCTGTAAATTATGATTGATATTAAATAGTTATCAGAGCTATTTTGGGCCATTTGAGAGCTGGTTTGAATGGCTGCAACAATTAAAAGAAGTCACATCCTCTCTAATTTAAGCTGGGTACACATTGAAACTGGGTGGCCTCATAGACATAGAACATTTGTAATTCTAGTATGATCTCTCACCAAACCTGCATTCATGGGCATTATAATGACCATTACCCCTCCCCAACATCAATGACAGTGCTGTTGTGCTTCAATCAACCATGGCCATTACCCCATCCCCAATCAACTATGGTCATTACCCCTCCCCAATCAACCATGGCCATTACCTGTACCAATCATCAATGGTGGTGCTGTTGTTTGTTACAGATGTGGATGAGTGTACCACAGGAACCGATGTATGCCAGCAAAAGTGCATCAACACAGAAGGCAGCTACAACTGTCAGTGTTATGATGGCTTTGACTTGATTGATGACAGGGTCACTTGTAGGAAAAGTAAGGATTCTTGGATGAAGATGGGTGCAAATGGGATATGTTGATTTAGACCATTGACAGTTTGATTTGTGGATATAGAGTTGTGACAGTTTGATTTGTGGATTTAGAGTGTTGACAAGTGGGATTTGTGGATATAGACAGTGCAAGTAAGATTTGTGGATGTAGAGTGGTGACAGTTTGATTTGTGGATATTTGGTGACAGTGGGATTTGTGGATATAGAGTGGTGACAACAGTGGCTGCAGATGATTACTTGGATGATATTTTGAATTAATTGTTTATGATGTATTGGATTCAGATTTGCTAGATAGATTTAAACATCTTTGGTTTAATTCTGCATGTGTTGTGATCTGTGTTTTTTTTTGTGTGTGTGCCATTTTTTTATCATTATTTATAATGGGACAGAAACTAAGGTAAAGTTTGTTTGGTTCATGTTTCTACAGCTGCTGCCAGTGTGTGTGATGACTCGATGATGTGTAGCCATGGCTGTACAGTGGAGGGGGGTGTACAGAGATGTTTCTGTAATGCTGGCTATCAGCTCAATGCTGATAATAAAACTTGTGATGGTAATGTTGGATACTTTAGTTCATCGTGTTCTAGCTTGATGGTTGCATTGGGTTTATCTTCTGGCAAATCTCTGGACATTGGTCATGTATAGATGGTTGTGAGCAGTCTTGTTGGACAAGGTCAAAAGTAAAGTAAAGCACCCTATTAGACTGTGTAGTCAATCACCAGATGAAGCAGAGTTTGTCTGTTTCTCTAAATTTGACAGAGGAAGGGCTGGAAAGGGTAGCAACTTTAGTTTCACTGACTTTAGTCAGGTACCCATCGGAGCTGGGTGGTTTCAATGCTGAATTCAATGAACTCAAATTTGTATAAAGTATTAGTGAGAAAAGTGGTTTCTAAAATAAAATAAGTGGGAGAAAAACAGAAACTTTATTTTGAATGAGGGTTAGTTTTTGAGGTTAGAATTTATTTTTTATGTTGGACAGTGGTAGAATCACATGAAATCTTTATCAGTTAACTGAAGGTTAAGGAGTTTTGTTTTTCTTTAAAAATAGATGTAGATTGAAACAGTGAGTTCTTATTTGACAGATATTGATGAATGTGCTTCACCTACCACCAACAAATGCAGCAGTAACGCCAACTGCAGTAACACCAACTCTAGCTACATCTGCACCTGCAAGGATGGAAGCAAGCTGGAAAATGATGGCCGCACCTGTTCAGGTCAGTGGTCAACTTGCCCTCATCCTCTCTCTGGTTCATCTCACCTGAATTTCAAAGTTTTTTTTCCAAAAGTTTTATTTTATTTATCCATTATCAGTTTATATGGGACGGAGTGGTCTAGTGGTAGAGAGCTGGACTGCTAATCCGTAAGTCTCGAGTACGAATCCGGGTTCAAGTCAGTAGGCCGTCCCTGAGTCCACCCAACTCTGATGGGTACCTAACTCACGTTAGGGAAAGTAAAGGCGGCTGGGCATAGTGCTGACCACACTATCTCTTAATATGCCGAGGTCACAGAAAAATGACGATTTGTTAAAATTCATTTAATGCAAAACAAAAAGTAATGTCATTCCTCCATAATAATAATATGGCTATTTGTAATAAATATTGGTCATGAAAAAGGGAACTTATTAAAAATTTGCTTCTATTAAAAGCAAAACATAAAATAAAAGTACAATTTTTAAAACATTTTTGAATCGACTTTATATTTTTCCAAATATTTTTTAAAGATGTTTCATAGTTTTTGATCTTTGTGTCATTTTAAAAAAAAAATTAACATAATTAAAAAAAAACTTTGGCACATATAAACTTTTAAGAATTGGTTTTAAATTGTTTTAATATCATATTTTAAAAAAACATGGTGCACTGTTTTACCAACAGCCTGTACCAGTGGAACGTGGGGTGTGAACTGCTCCAAGTATTGCGCCTGCTCCACTGGTGCCTCACGATGTGATGCTGTTACTGGTTGTGTGTGCTCCCCAGGGTACAGTGGTATGTTGATGTCTTTCTTATGTCTTTTGTTGATGGGCGACCAGTTTGTTAAATGTACTGGAACAGTTATGAGTTTTGAGAGTATTAAAATTGTATACATTTATGTTTATATGTGTTTACACTTCATTCAGAAAAAAAAAATATGCTGTTTCAATTATTTAAAAACATAAAAAAACTGAGGTTATAACTCTGATATTTAACCGATTTTATATTTTAATTAAAATGTGTTTATTAATGTGAGAAAAAATAAATATAGTTATAGCTTTAATTAAAAATTTGCTTGAAATTGAATTTAATTATAAATGAAAGTAAAAACACAAAACAAAGGAATGTAAATGTAGTTAACAACTATTTTATTATCTCCCTTGGTTAGGTACTTTCTGTGATAAGAACATCAACCAGTGTGAGACAAGGGACATAACCTGTAACAACAGCACTGAGGACTGTATTGACAGACCAGGGGTGGACTTTTGCAGGTGTAAGGCTGGATACAGAAATGGAACTTCAGGATGTGAAGGTTTGGCACTTTTCTACAATTTTTACAACACTCTGCCATTGCTAGACAGCATATAAGATTCTTAGCATAAATAATAGTATCTGATAATGTAGGTTGCTAGCTTAACCATTTATCTTTCTCAGGCAAGCTTTGAGCTTTTTTTTTATAGCCATGGGCAGTTAAATTATGACAAATAAATCTATATGTACAATTTCTTGTCAGACTTTATAAACATAAACCAATATTTATTTGGCTATTTATTTATCACCTAATGTTAATAGTAATGCTGGAGAAATGTGAACCATTTATAACAGACAACTCTGGGTTACTTCTTTCAAATCTACTGTGCCTCACCTCATCTGTAATCAGAGTTACTGTTCCTTGGTGTGTCTGTAATTTACATGTTTTTAAATGTATACCTTTGTTTGCAGATATCAATGAGTGTTTGGACAATAAATTAAACACTTGTTCCCAAAACTGCACCAACCAGAATGGAGGCTACACTTGCTCATGTTTCCCTGGCTACCAGTCTAACTCCACATCAGGTGTCTGTATTGGTAAGTTTATGATTGTTTCATGGGCATTCACGACACTTTCAACAACAGTTTTTTCTTTATTTACTCTTATTGTTTTTGATACAGGAGTAGTTTTTTTTTTTTATTTACTTATTTACAATAATAATATCTGTGTCCCAGAAAACAATATTGTAATCAGAATCAATTACCGAATTTGATGTTGATCAAATGTGCTTCACCTAACTCTTTATACTATTTACGATGGAACTTTATTTCTTAATAATCTTTAAAAATTTGTTTACCTGATAGAGATTCTTCACTGAATTATACATTTTCATTTACACATTACACATTTTATTTTAGACTGCTTTTGTTAGCTATTTGGTTTAGTAATTACTATTAGACAGATGTAAAAATTAACACTTATAAAAAATAACTAAAATGGCTTTTGTGTACAACCCCAACAGATATAAATGAATGTGAGATGAACATGAGCAAATGTACACACTTCTGCAACAACACAAATGGCAACTTTATCTGTACGTGTAGGCCAGGCTACAAACTGATGCCTGATGGGTTCACTTGTGAAGGTCAGTTTCATAAGAGAAGGAGATCTATGACATTTTTGTAGATCTATGACATTTTTATGGTGCTACACATTAAAGTATACTTGTTGTTATAGTTGAAATACTTTAAAATTTTTATAATTTATTTTGATTGATTTAATTCTGATAAGAAGTTATACTTCTAGACAACAATATAACTGCTCTGCGTCAATTTTTAAAAACTTGAAGTAACAATATTTTTTGTGTACAAAAGTAGTATGTAATTACAAGTAAAATAATTTCTGTTATACAGATATAGATGAATGTTCTGTACAAAATGGCAACTGTGTACAGAACTGTACAAACACACCAGGCAGTTTCAGCTGTTCCTGTTTCAGTGGATACCTGTACAACAGCTCATCCAATACCTGCGCAGGTAAAATATAAATAGAAATCTTTGTCATTAAGGTTCTATACATTCTTCCATGTAACAGTTGTTAAGTAGAAGTATTTATTTTTCTCCAGACATTGATGAATGTGCTAACTCAACTCTGAACAACTGCCTACAACTACAAAACTGTACAAATACACCAGGCAGCTTCAATTGTACATGTGTTAATGGATATTTTTACAACTCTACACTAAAGATATGTCAAGGTAAATTATTATTTTTGTGGAAAATTTGAACAACTGCTTTAGAGAGTAGAAATATTTTTAATTTCAATTTGTTTAGTTTATTTTATTCTATGTGTAAGAAAATTAAGGTTGAACTTTTCAAAAGCATTTTTAACAATAACTCGTAGCTGTGTGTTTATCTGAATAAAGAATCTATATTTATTTACATTTTTCTCTGAATTATACTAAATATTCTTATGAAAATATTTGAAGCTGATGAATGAAAATCCAACCTAACTATCTTTTAAAAACACTTCCGATATTCAGATATTGATGAATGTGCTAACACAGTATCGAAGCCCTGTGAACAGAAATGTACCAACTTTGATGGAGGCTACAACTGTTCATGTTTTGATGGCTTTTATTTGAATGGGTCTAATAAGTGTCAAGGTAAAGGGATACAAAGTAAATAAACCTTAGAATGTACTTTTGGAGTTTTGTTGCTGCAATATAAATGTATGGAAAAAATATAAATAGTAATTTTTATTAGTTTAAAAAAGTATTTTCTGAAAAATGTTTTTTTTTTGTTCAGATGTAGATGAATGTGCTAACTCAACTCTCAACATCTGCCAACAAAATTGTACCAACATACCAGGCAGCTACAATTGTTCATGTTTTAGTGGATATTTTTACAACACTACACTCAAGACTTGCCAAGGTAACTTTTTGGAATATTACAATAAAATTGTAAAACTTTGTTTAATATTTCTGTCATATCCAAAAATTAAACCAATGCTACAGTTGCTGATTGGCATCATTACTTTTTTAAAAAGAAATTTTGCTTCGTATTTGTTTGAAATGATTAATTCTTTGTATTATTCATTTTGTATAAAAACATAAATACATTTTTTTTCAACGTTAAGACATAAATGAGTGTACTGACCCAACTCTGAACATCTGCCCACAACTTCAATACTGTACCAACATTCCAGGCAGCTTCAATTGTACATGTGTTAGTGGATATATTTACAACACTACACTTATGACTTGCCAAGGTAAACATGTTATGTCATTAAGTTTTGTGATTTCAACGATTGAATCTGGTGTTGTAGTCATGCTTATTGAAATCTTTTATTTTGTTTCATTTTGGTGGACAATGTTTTGTCTTTTTTCATTGCATGCTTTGTTTTCGTTCCTTAAATAATTTCTTTTTCATTTAGATATAGACGAATGCTTGGACAAGACTTTAAATACTTGTGACCAGCAATGTACAAACAACAATGGCAGCTACACCTGCTCATGTAACAATGATTACTTTTGGAACAATGATACCAAAAAATGTCAAGGTGAGGCAAAAATCAGGGAGTCAAAGGAGCAATTAGCCTATGTGTTTGTTGTTTTGTTTGTCTGGTGAAATGTTACTGTATGCACTGAACCATCTTGTCATGTGACTGAGTATCACCTGGACCAAGTCCTCTACACTACATTAGATTCTGTATTAAACTGCAAAAATGTCATCATTTGCAGCATTATATTTTTAGTTAGACTTTTATCAACACCTCCCCATACAACAATTTTTAACTTCAACTAAATGGATAACCTGTGACTTTGACTTGATCCAGTGGTTCTCCACTGCTCCACCCTACCTAACAGTGGCAGTGCTATTAATACAACCTTTAGTACTTACAGCCTCCATGGAATATATTGAAATTTTTTTTCCTTAAATTTCATTGTTTGTTTGTTGAGCATTCTACTGTAAATACTAGCATCTGAATTCCCAAACTTTCCTTAATAACTGGTTTGCTAAAAAAATGAATGTCTAAAAATTGTGTGACTGGTCATATTAACCATGTTTCCACTTTTAAAAGTTACAACAAAAATGTTGTGAGTTTCTTTCTTTAACTCATGATTATTTTATATAATTTAGAAGGGATACCGTTCATGGCACAACTGAACTTCATTGTGGATGTTAGCCATGTAAACTTTACTGATACATCCAGCAGCAGTTACATAATCCTGAAGGATCAGGTGAACAATGAGGTCAGTTGAATGCTAGTTTTATTTTTGTGTAGAATGTGAGAAAGACTGGCTAGTTAACTATCATGTTATTATGTAGTTTAATACTTAGTGGAATGTGGTAGTTAGTGGGACTGTAGTTACTTTTTTGGACCTAACAATTGCAGCAGATGAAGTAATGTTTATATATTTCTGTGACTACTGCATTTTAAGATACAGTGTTTAGATCCTAAAATACATAAGTAAATGCTTGATATTGATGCCATTTGCTGATGAGAATGTTGAATAAAGCCATCTAGTTTACCACAAAGTAATACTTCTAGATTTTTCTTACAATTATTTGTTTAATTTTTCAGCTGAGCCAGAACATGAGGAGTAGTCTACCACTTTTGAAACAACTGACAGTTACAGAAATGAGGTGAGTTTTCTAGGCTGGTAAGTTACAAGTGTTATGTAAGATATCTAGGTTGGTAGGTTACAAGTATTAATGTAATTTTTCTAGGTTTGTAGGTTACAAGTATTAGGTATTTTTTCTAGATTGGTAAGTTGCAAGAGTTATGTAAGATATCTAGGCTGGTAGGTTACAAGCATTATGTAAATTTCTAGGCTGGTAGGTTACACAAGTGTTATGTAAGAGGATGGAGTGCATGGTCAGTGTTTCTTCCAGACTTTTTTCTCTTGGGGGGGGGGGGGGGGGGGGCACTTGATATTTTCGGGGGGGGGGGGGGGGGGGGGCGGACACTGTTAAAAGTGTATATTTTCTATATAAATTCCATTTTGTTCAGAAGAGATGCCTGGGAGAAACTGCATGGTTGAGTGTATTACTGCCTTGCTGCTAATCATTAGTCTTTGGTAGCCTGTCTTGTTTTTTCAACATCTGTAAGACCACCAAGCTCTGCTGTAATAGGTGTTATAATTAATCCACCAAGCTAATTATGGGTTCTTCAGTTCAGGGAAAGCAAACGAAAGTTTTTAAAAATTAGATTGAATACTCAGTGTTTTAGGTATTATTTGAATATTTGTACTAACTATAGTTTTTTGTTACAGTTTTACAATTGGATAGCCTATTATAGCGAACACTGAAGGATTATTATTTTTTGCTATGCATTGACTAGTTTTGTAATATAATAAATATGGAACTTAAATATTTCTCTTTAGTTTAGCATAATTTCTCTGTTTATCTCTTTTATTACTCATAATTCCTCTATGTTTATTTCAACAAGTTTCATTTTTGTATTATAGAAAGGGCAGTCTAATTGTAAACTTCAGTTTGCTGCTTGGGAAAAGTGAAGATAAGAATGTTCAATTGGGTACAGCTTTCAAGGATTTATTCAACAAAGTTTGGCAGTTTGGGAATTCAACTGCAGTTTTATCTGAAATAGAGTATGATTCATTGTCTAGTAAGTCAACAACCATCTTATATAAACATTAACAAATGATCCATAACTATAAATAATAATATACTCTTTTTTTGTTAACACTGTTTTTAAAGGAAGTTTAATGGAAAGAAAAGGAAATTTATAAATAACTAGTACACAATTGATATAACTCACCTTATACTACACTTTACATTTTATTTTATGAGTAAGCTATTAATCTAGATTAGATGGTTTCTCTAACTGTTTATATTGATAAATATTTAACCAAAACTCACAAAAATTGTCAAAGATTCTAGCCAAAATTGGAATTGTTCATGATTGTGTCACCATGTATCACACCCTTACTGAGCTTATCCCTTAGGTGACATCATTTGTATTTGACCATTTATTTCAGTTACTCCCCTTAGCAATTTCATCTATAGAGTCCTTTCATATGACGTCACGTCCGTTCGTGATACCTACATCTCCGCCACGCTGGTGTACACCAGACGTAAACAAAATCAGCTGTTCACCAGCGCTGGACGCGTTCACTGTATGTAAAGAACCGCACCCGCGGAAAAGGAAAAATACGTTAAAAAACTTGAACTCTTAGGAATTGAAGATCCTTATACTGTTATTGACAGTTTTCGTAGATAATATAAATATGTGGCCAACATTTCTAAATAAAAAATACTGTTAGTAATACTGTTTGCGTTTAGAGTTTAAGTAGACGAATCTGATCAAATGCAGTTCTCGATACTTTGCTTCAGGTAAGGACAGTAAAATAATAAACTTCATTTTAATTCTAAAAGATAACTATTAATAAAACAAATATGCTCGACCTTCACAAATACTAATAGTAAAAGACAAAGTCAAAAGTAATAATAAGAATAATAAGGTCTAATAGTAGGCCTAATAATAGTGTTTTGATATCTAGATCTAGAATCTAGCTCTAAACATGGCGTAAACAAAATTCGGACCACAGCTCTAGATTCTGGATTTAGGGTGACTGGCTCCGCTGGGTAGACATAGAATCTAGAATCTACTTATTTACTTAAATTTAATTACAAAATTTAGATCTACATTCGATTCAAAATACACCCATAATAAATCAAAAGTAGTCATAGTAGGCCTAATGTAATTGTCTCTAAAATCTAAAATCTTGCTTTACAATCTAATAATTTTTTTAGCAAACGAAATTTTCTGAAATTGAAATAGATTGTATGACTAGACTTAGATCTAGAATCTGCTACTTAAATTTTAAATTTTTTATACAAGCATATAATTGATATTATTGTAGTAGAAGACTTTAATAAATTACTATGGCCTACCTACTTTGTGTCTTTTTACAGCAATATGTATCTGATACTGGACTGAGTTTAATTAAATTAAAATGCATATCTAGTAATTAGTCTACTAAGTTTATGTAGCCTAGTAGTAGAATCTAGATCATACCAGCCAACAACAAATAACCACATTATTATTATTTGGTTAATGATTAAGCTATTTTTTTTAAAAATCCACTGTTTATAAAAGAAACAAATCAAGCTAGAAACATTATAAGTGAGATGGTTTAGAATAATAACAATGGACCCAGTCTACAATTGATACAATTGCAGGTCTACATAGGGCCTACAGTCTAGTAGTTTACAGTAGGCACCTAGTGTGTAGCTAGTATACTAGTGTGTAGCTGTCCAGAGTTAAGATTCTTAATACTTTCCCCTGATAAGCCATGTGTGCTATAAATGACATAACATGACATCGAGGTGAGAAATGTTGAGGGGAGAGCAGTGGGACTTTCCCCTTTGTTCTCCCTGCTGGGCCCTGAGGGTATCACGGAGGTGAGAAATTTTCAGGGGAGGGCAGTGCTACTGACTCCTCTTTGGTTTTATTGAGGGTTGAACATCAGTATTAATGTGTCTGATCACTTCCCTGCTGGATTATAAGGGTCTTAAATTGTATAACATGCTACCCAGATTGCCTGAGATCTAAGAACAGCAGTGGTTATTACCCATGAATTATATTAGCCGTTGTAGTGTGGGTTTTGTAGGAGTTAAATGGTCTCACGTTTGCTACAGTAGTGTGGTTGTACTAGATCTGTTGCTACTAAATCTTGTACTTAACAGAGAATCTATAATCTACATTAACCAGATTTAGATAACCTATAATACACCTACTTGAACTCGAAACGCAAACAGTATTACTAACAGAATATTTATTTAGAAATTTCGGCCTCATATTTATATTATCCACGAAACTGTCAAACAGTATAAGGATCTTCAATTCCTAAGATTTCAAGTTTTTTAACGTATTTTTCCTTTTCCGCGGGTGCCGTTCTTTACACACAGTGAACTCGTCCAGCGCTGGTGAACACGTCCAGCGCTGGTGAACAGCTGATTGTGTTTACGTCCGATGTACACCACTGTGGCGGCGGACGCAGGTATCACGTGATTTAGGTCACGTGTTTGCAAGGACTCTATATTCTATATTACTGTTTAAATAACAGTATTTAATCCACTATCAGCCCATTGTTATAATGACAGCATTGTTTAGGTCAAGAATTGCATGAACACATTACTGCAAGATATTTATCATGTATCTTATTTTAAATGTTTAGTAAACAACAGCACATCACTGTGTGAAATCATCAATAAGATAAGCTCTTGTCCTGGCTGTGATGACACCTCAACAAATGTCACATGCAGGTAAGAAATGTTTAGATAACATGCAGGTAAGAAATGTTTAGATAACATGCGGGTAAGAAATGTTTAGTAAACCAAATGGTATTTGCATAATTTATGTAGCCTTAGCATAATTTATTTTAGTATTGTCTGTATTTGTTTTATTGAAATTTATTTGATTTTTGTTTCTTTTTCTTTACAGTACATCATGTAAGTAATCCCACACTTGTAAAAATAGATTGATATTTGATACTCTAATCCTAGCATGTTTCATTTTTCTTTGCAATTTAGGTTAGTAAACCTTATTAAACAATCTTTTTAGTACAAACATTAAGGAGATACCTAGGGGATAGCTCATGTTTTAAAATTATTTATCTTCTATTTTTGTATCAGTTAATCAATAGTTTGACTCTGGGTTTTTTTTTCCTGTCATCAGCTGACAGCAAGGCGCTGACCATAGGTCTAGCTGTGGGCATCCCACTCTTCTGTCTTCTGGTTGCTGTGGTGGTTGTCCTGCTCTGTCTGTGGAAGAGGCGGCAAAATAAATTGGTTGTCACAAGGTCCCTGCAGTCAGATGATGATGAGGATGGGTAAGTGAAACACTGATACTGACAGTACAGAGTGGTCTAGCGGTAGAGAGCTGGACTGCTAACATGTAAGTCTCAAGTTCGAATCCGGGTTCAAGTCAGTAGACCGTCCCTGAGTACACCCAACTCTGATGGGTACCTAACTCACGTTAGGGAAAGTAAAGGCGGCTGGGCATAGTGCTGACCACACTATCTCTTATGCCAAGGTCACAGAAACAAGTGAACTCTACTTCACTTGCCCTATAGACCGTCAGGTTTGAAAGGGAAACTTTACTTTTAAAGATTAAGTACTTATGCCAGTCAGATGATGAGGATGGGTAAGTAAAACACTGATACTGACAGGTTTTAAAGTGATGGTAAAGATTAAGTACTTATGCCCTTCATATGCTGAGGTCTCAGAAACAGGTGAACTCTACTTCATCTGTCCCATAGTTCAACATGTTCAAAATGGAACTTTATTTAATTACTAAGAGTAAAGTCTAGTTTTAGAGGTGAATAATTTCCAGAAGTAAAATTTAATTTCTTAAGGTGTGTTGTATCATTAATCTAAATATATAAGAAAGTGTGTACTCAAAAATGACTTGTTGCAATTTACTAGGTCATCTTTAAAAAAAAACCACTTCATATTGTGTTAACTACTTTGTGTGTTTTTATCTTCAGTCACTTTAGATCAGTTTTCGCCCAAGGATTTGCTAAGCGTGGGATTTTTGACGGGAAAGACAGACCAGGGTTTTATGATGGCTTTTCTGATGTAGCTTCAAGAGCTTCTGCAAGCACAGAAACTGGAGCTAAAGGTAAATTTATTTCTAAACTCACTGGAGGGTTCAGGGTTAACCAAGACAATTGAAATGTACTAGCCTGTGTGGATCATAACACTGAGGCTCAGCCACATTGGTGGTAATGTTTTAGTGATGTAGAACACAACATGGAGAGCACAATTGTTGGCCTGTTTTATGAAATCGTTGGTATATCTGTTATGTCATGAATTCTGTTCTTGAGATAAATCTGAGATAGTTTATTAAAAGCTTCTGCTTTATGCAGGATAAAATTATCATTAAATTTGCCGTGTGGTTTTCATTGGTAAATGCCATGTTGTTATCATGTGTTACTTAACATATTCTAGAGCAATTCTTTTTTTTTAATTAAGCATTTTTCAGAAATGTAGTGACAGAAATAAGTTGGGTACTATAGTTTAGAATTGGTCTCATATAGTTTAGATAAGGTCTATCTAAAAGGAAAGATTTTGTAACTGTTATTATTCTGACATGTTCAGCAGAGAAAGCCAAGGGCAGCTTTTCGTGGGACTTCATATACAAAATTCTGGATACAAATAAAGAGGTAATTTTGTTTTGTTATTTTTTGTCACAATATTATTTTACAAGAAAAAAAATTGGAAATTCCAATATGCGGAAGTTCAAATGTTATCTTATTTTTGACTGCCATTTTTCAAAAAGTAAAAGATCTTATAACTCAACAAATGAAATAATAATCAAAATTTTTATTTTTCAGGATTTCCAGTTACCAAGACCCAAGTTAAGTCCAGTAAGTTATTAAAATATTAAAACATTTTTAGTTGAATTTAAATTGTATTATTGTGAGGCTATGCAATAGATTTTTACTATAGCTAAAGATTTTACTGTATCATACATTTATTTCCAAGCAACATTTCACTTAAAATTTTGTGAAATATATTTTTTTTATATACTCGCACCTTCCTACTCACATGTTGTCGTCAAAATATTTTTTGTTACAATCAAAACAAAACATTTTTCTACCTCCAGGGATATACGTCCAAAATATAGTCCACCAACCTCCACCCACTTCCAGCTTTACCAGATGTTTATTTACTACTCTTGCCAACCTCTAGACAACCAGTCTTTAGATTCTCAACCACAAACCAACCAGTTTCTACGGATTCACCAAGGCAGTTTAATTGTTGTAGATTTTAACCAGAGAAATTATTTCTTAAACCTAGTGGTTGGATCACACTGTTGTAAATTATAAAGTACTTACGTTATTAATTAATTTCTAAAATCATTAACCTATGAAATCAATTTTAGTTTAATTTTTTTTTATATATACCAGCTTTTTATTTTATTTGTGTCTTAGGTTATTTACTAACAAATGAAAACTATTTTAATGGGTGAATGAATGTTTAAAATGGTGCCAATCTATTTATTTATTGTGGCTCAGAGAAATTATTTCTTACTGTGAAAATTATTAAGTAAGGAAGAGGTTCTCTAAAAAGGAAGGGTTCCAATAATTGCATTTAATAGAAAGAGTTTAAAACTGGTGATAAATTTGAAGTAGATTTTATTTTGTGTCGAACAATGCATCAAAGGGTTTTAATTTTTTAATGAGCGCACAAAAAAAACAATCAAAGCTAATTACAGATTTAATTAATGTATTGTTATATGTGGGTTAACTTTTTGATAAACTTTTAAAATAAAACCAGCTCACTGTGGTGCTGATATCTTGTTTGATAGCTTAAAAGTTCCAACCCTAAACAGTTGAAGTGTTTTTGTTGCTCAATGACTCTTGAACATTCCATGGCAATTTGTTTTATTTACTTGATCTCAGAATCGCCACTAGATTAATAGCTTAAGATTAATCATAGATTCACTCCTGTGAAAATCCTGTCACTTTTTGGAAGCATAGCCATAATCAATGATGTAGCCATACACAACTGATTTTAAAATATTCTCCTATGGTAATAGACTAAAGTGTATGACTACAACCCTGATGGTTAGAATATAAGATGGTTATATCACAGCTAAATTTTTTAAGACTCCCTGAAATGTTTACACATACATTCTGTTAAAATTTAACCTTTAAACTATTCCACATATGAACTATTTTTACAACAATTTCAGCTAAAAGACAACTCACTGTGTTTTATTTATTGTTTACCTCTCCTGTTTGTTTTATTTAATGCTTACCTCCCCTGTCTTTCTTACAATGTGCCTTTACATAATATATAAACCATGCTGGCCATGGAACAGGAATTTCTTGTAAATTTAATCAGGTGATGGTTTATGTGATGTATGATATTTAAACATTTGTACTTGGATTACTTTTTAAAATGTTTCTTCTTTATTAAAAGTTTTTTTTTGTTCAAATATTTGTGATATACTAATGCCTTATAATTTTTATGTCAATATTATGTTTATATATTCTTGATTGTCACTATAATAAAATGTATAGCTTTTTACCATATGTTGTGAAATGTTTGCAATTATATACATAACTTATATTCAATACATTGTTCATGCATTTGTTATTTTTATTTTTTAAAAATTCTTTTATATCAATAAATAATTTATAATAAAATATATATATTTTTTGTGCATTTATTTTTTAGCATTTTATTTTTTATAAAATGGAACGATGAAACACTCTTGATATCCCATGGTTCCAAGTTTTAGAGCTGGTGCCACCTCTTGATGAAACACTCTTGATATCCCTTGGTTTCAAGTTTTAGGGATGGTACCACCTCTGGATGAAACTCTTGATATCCCATGGTTCCAAGTTTTAGGGATGGTACCACCTCTTGATGAAACTCTTGATATCCCATGGTTCCAAGTTTTAGAGCTGGTGCCACCAGTTCTTGAACCTGGATCTGATGAGTTGATGGCTCGCAGGTGGGTGTTGGTTTCTAGAGGTGGTTAGTGACAGCCTGAGACTGCTCAAACAGCAAGTTAATAGGTGGTATTTTCTTGTGGTGGTACCAAATCTCATGAAACACTACATAAGGTGGTATTTTGTTGTGGTGGTACCTAGTCTCATGATACACTACATAAGGTGGTATTTCTGTGTAAATGTCACGTGTTATTTCAGTGATCTTGCCACAGGTGCTATTTCAGTGCACTAAACACAGGTGTTATGTCAGTGCACTAGCTAAAGGTGTTATTTCAGTGCATTAGACACTGGTGTTATTTCAATGTACTAGTCATCCAAAATCTCTCCTAACATCCCACAGTAAGAAAGTACTTTATACCTATGTCCCATATACAACATATAGTAAAAATGTCCCACATACAACATATAGTAAAAATGTCCCATATACAACATATAGTAAAAATGTCCCATATACAACATATATTAAAAATGTCCCATATACAACATATATTAAAAATGTCCCATATACAACATATAGTAAAAATGTCTTATATACAACATGTAGTAAAAATGTCTCATATACAACATATAGTAAAAAGCCTCATATACAACATATAGTAAATATGTCCCATATACAACATATATTAAAAATGTCCCATATACAACATATATTAAAATGTCCCACATACAACATATTGTAAAAATGTCCCATATACAACATATGGTAAACATGAAGCCATCAATCCCCCTCGCCCCAGTGAGTTGTCAGCAGTCACTAACACAAGGGAAGCAAGCCGTCCTACAGTCACTAACACAAGGGAAGCAACCTGTCTGTGTTACACCCCCTGGTAAGAAAGCTAATACGAAATAGGTAAGCTGAGACGTTAGGCACTAGCTGATAGCTCTACAGAGTGTGGATTACAGTCTGCTGTCGTCAGGTGGTTGGTGGAGGGGGTGGAGAGAACGTAGGGGGGGGGGGAGGTGGGGGAGGGGGTAAAGACGTACATGTAACTCTAGCTTTCAATGGTTCCCATACGATGGCTCAGTGGGTAGGACCTAGTCAAATGTAATACATTTTTAAAAAGTACAATTATTATAATTTGACGATGCAATGAGTCTAATAATTTTTTATCACAACCATTGAAGATTTGCCGGTTCCATTCCATATTACACGAATATTTATTTTTAGTGATTCTAATTAATTTTTTTTTTAGTTTATAGAGCAGAAAAATCCTATCAACTATGAAAATAACTAAATAAGAATAAGAACATAATCCAAATCCTATAAATAAAAGAGGCTTGAAACAATGGTTATTATTTTAGCCAAGTATAAACAATCAAACAATGAAGATATAAATAAAATAATTTTTAGATTAAAAAAAATAATTAGAAATGCAGCTTTTACCTGGCCTAGCAGCCATTGTGGTAGGTCTAGCTGGCTATGTGTGTCATGGTGGTTTACTGCCGGTGTGGCTATGGCAGAGTTGCACGAAACTCTCATAACAAATTGGCCGCGGAAGACAGGTGTACAAAGTGTATTGTTACAGAAATGTCGTATCGAGCTGGGCGTGGGTGTAATTAAAAACTAGAATCGTCAACAAACGAAAGATAATAAAATCTTTAACCGCTGTTAACCACTCTTACAATTTTAATTATTGACCTGTTGGGTGCTATCTTTGTATTTACATTTTGTGCAATTGTTATCTATGTGTATTGGCCGATGTTTTAAGCAATTAAAAACCATAAAATAATGTACACTTCACAGGACAATGTTTACAATAACATCAGTCATGAAATAATTGTGCCGGCTGTCTCGACCGAGTAACAAGCAAGCTGATCTTTCTTGAATTGTATCATTTCTACCAGTAACAGCGTCAGCAAGGTACCTACTTTAATCCACATAAACGTTTCCCAATGTTTTTTGCTCCGTTGAAAATAATCAACAATAGAACAATAATTTAATTTAAAAAAAAACCTTTATAATAATCATCTTTTAAATGTATTGAAAAGGTAAAAAAAAATAAATAAATCAAACTTGAAATGAATGAAAGCTTATAAAAAGTAAATGAACACAATGCTGAGTATTAAAAGAAATAATTTTTATTTACAATAAACAATACATTTATAGTTAATAGTTACACGTAATTATAATTCCCAACAATGTTTTTTTTTAAAGCAAGCAAGATATACAGTATTTTAATTGACATAACAAAGTTTTTGATCAAGTACAGTTTACTATATTTTTAAAATAGCGACATTTTTTGTCACGTGATCATGGTTTTACAAAACATTGCACCACGCATGATTTGAATATAAAGAACACGGCTAGACGGCGAGATTTGTGAATAGTGTACGTGTAAGCCTATTGAAATCATGTGAGATAAAAACCCAAATTTGGAATACAGAGAAAAAGAAAACAAAACATAACTAGTTTTCAATGTCAGCTAGGCTATAACTTAGGTCACTAAAGTTGACGGTGAGTTCGTGTTGTTTTTGTAAATCATGCATCTACCTATCTTTTTTGTCTTCAATTTTTTTTTAAAGTAAAAAAAAAAAAAAAAATAAGCTTTTCTCTTTTCTTTCGATAACATGCGTGACACTCCAAGAAACACCCCCACCTCACTTTAAGTACCTTATCAAGTGACACTGTGAATAGAATTCTGAATAATAGAATGTGCTAGAAAACTATAGAATATCAGCTTGCGTACAACTTGTATTTCGTACACCCAATGCTGTGACACGATGTGTTCCCAATGTTCTGTTACACAACATGACAGCACGGCTTAAAATATAGGGAACATTAAAAATTTGTAATGAAGCAGGAGGATTTATAACAGTTACAATAACATGGGATTTCACAGTTATTTCGTATTATTGTTGTGAAATTAATTATGTGAAATATTTAACGTCTTGTTATGTTTGGCAACCGTATGTTATTATTATTATTTATATATAAGTTCGTATAGTAATACCAGTATATTTAGATTGCATGATGGTGAAAGTATTTGTATTTAGTTTTTGTATTTTTCATATCATTCAATGACTTAATCGCTGAAGCACAGGTTCTGTCTATATTCGTAGACTGAAATTATAAGGTTTTGATTATCATATGTATACATAGTAGCTATAGATTGGTTAAGATATTTTAATACAGCTTTTTACATTGGCGTTCGAATATATTTAACAAAAAAATCAATGGGTGGTTATTTGAATAAAATATCTATGAACACATGCGAGAATCAACATGATATAAAATGTGTACAAATAGAAATAAATTGCACTTTATGGAGTTAAAGGCCATGTTTTGTGGAGAAAAAGGCAAACTTTTTAGGGCCGTCTGAGGGATTAGTAGCGTCAGTACGTGGGTCGGCTAGGGGTCAGTACGTGGGTCGGCTAGGGGTCAGTACGTGGGTTGGCTAGGGGTCAGTACGCGGGTTGGCTAGGGGTCAGTACGTGGGTCAGGAGGGGTCAGATTATGGGTCGGCTAGGGGTCACTACTTGGGTCGGCTAGGGGTCACTACGTGGGTCAGGTGGGGCCATAACGTGGGTCGGCTGAGGTCAGTACTTGGGTCAGGTGGGGTCAGAACGTGGGTCGGCTAGGGGTCAGTACGTGGGTCGACTGGGTCAGTACGTGGGTCAGGTGGGGCCAGAACGTGGGTCGGCTAGGGGTCAGTACGTGGGTCGGCTAGGGGTCAGTACGTGGGTCGGCTAGGGGTCAATACTTGGGTCGGCTAGGGGTCAATACTTGGGTCGGCTAGGGGTCAATACTTGGATCGGCTAGGGGTCAGTGCGTGGTCAGGTGGGTCAGTATGGAAGAGATGGTATTGGAAGAAGTTTTGATCAAGGGTGGATAAGGATGATCATAGTTTGGGGTAGGCATAATAAGGGAGGTGGGACGCAGGGGGACTGGGAATAGGAATTAGTGCAATAGAGAAAGGCAATACATTACATCACAATGTCATTTCAATGTAGTAAAATAATAAAAGAATTTTAAATTTTAAAATATTGCTGTATTTAAAATGTTACTGGAGTTAAGTTGAGCATGGTGTATTATATTTTCTTACAATATGCAAGTAGTACAATATTTTAGATAATGTAGGACGAACGGTAGAGAAATACTTTTCATTATACTATAAATAACAAGGTTTTGCAAGAATACTTCATCTTGTTACCAATGGTAGTTGATCCAAGTGAACTCGTGTTTTATACTCAATTGAAGATCGAAATAGAATACATTTGTAAACACTAAAGCGAGCTATTAAAACAAACATGACAAAACATTTAAAAACCTTTTTATTTAATATAGGTCTGAGTCGAAATCTTTTTCAAGATGTGCAAATGACAAAATCAAAAATTTCTTTTATAAAGTGACTAACACCGATATTATTGTTCATTCTGTTCATTCGTCAATTCAGAAATAATAAAAAATATAGTTCGATAAACTTAATGGCAACACACTCACCCAATCATCCTACTTGGTTGTAAACACTGCTCTTTACATTTTCTGTTGCTCTGGAAATAAAAGAAAGGTGTTTACAAAAACATTGACAGTAAGGCCTAGCGATGGTTAGCAGGAGGGAAAGTGGAGAAGGGGGTCACTTTAATATTATAGATGGGTGGGGCCAGTTCCACGTCTTTGAAGAGTTGAGGAGTCAGCACAACATTTACGTCAGTTTGTTACGACTCCCTATGCTGCAGAACAAGCTCTATCGAGGACTTACCAGGTCACCCATTGGTTCTCATACTTTAAAGCATGAACATCTCACAAGTATACAACATGCTTCCCATACTTTAAAGCATGACACTCAAGTACTCAAGTACTTACCAGTGGATCCGTTGGTCCCCGTGCTCTGCTCAGTCATGGCAGGGTTCTCAAGGCCCTGCAACTTTTTTTTGGGGAAACTGTCCAGCGGAACCAAGGACTCGTCGAACAGCATCCTGCAGATTATCAGACAGATTATCAGATTGTCAGACAGATTATTAGATTATCAGACAGATTATCAGACAGATTATCAGACAGACTATCAGATTATCAGACAGATTATCAGACAGATTATCAGACAGATTATCAGACAAATTATCAGACAGATTATCAGATTATCAGACAGATTATCAGACAGACCATCAGACAGATTATCAGACAGATTATCAGACAGATTATCAGACAGATTATCAGATTATCACACACATTATCAGACAGATTATCAGACAGATTATCAGACAGATTATCAGACAGATTATCAGACAGATTATCAGACAGATTATCAGACAGATTATCAGACAGATTATCAGGCAGATTATCAGACAGATTATCAGACAGATTATCAGACAGATTATCAGACAGATTATCAGACAGACTATCAGACAGATTATCAGACAGATTATCAGGCAGATAATCAGACAGATTATCAGACAGATTATCAGACAGATTATCAGACAGATTATCAGACAGATTATCAGGCAGATAATCCGACAGATTATCAGGCAGATAAGCAGACAGATTATCAGGCAGATAATCAGATAGATTATCAGACAGTTTATAAGACAGTTTGTCAGACAGGTTATCAGACAGATTACCAGACAGGTTATCAAAATGACTATCAGACAGATTATCAGACAGATTATCAGGCAGATTATCAGACAGATTATCAGACAGATTATCAGACAGATTATCAGACAGATTATCAGACAGATTATCAGACAGATTATCAGACAGATTATCAGACAGACTATCAGACAGATTATCAGACAGATTATCAGGCAGATAATTTGACAGATTATCAGACAGATTATCAGACAGATTATCAGACAGATTATCAGACAGATTATCAGACAGATTATCAGGCAGATAATCAGACAGATTATCAGACAGATTATCAGACAGATTATCAGACAGATTATCAGACAGATTATCAGACAGATTATCAGGCAGATAATCAGACAGATTATCAGGCAGATAATCCGACAGATTATCAGGCAGATAATCAGATAGATTATCAGACAGGTTATCAGACAGATTACCAGACAGATTATCAGACAGATTATCAGACAGATTATAAGACAGGTTATCAGACAGATTATCAGACAGATTATCAGACAGATTATCAGACAGATTATCAGGCAGATTATCAGACAGATTATCAGACAGATTATCAGACAGATTATCAGACAGATTATCAGACAGACTATCAGACAGATTATCAGACAGATTATCAGGCAGATTATCAGGCAGATAATCAGACAGACTATCAGACAGATTATCAGACAGATTATCAGACAGATTAGCAGACAGATTATCAGACAGATTATCAGACAGATTATCAGACAGATTATCAGACAGATTATCAGGCAGATAATCCGACAGATTATCAGGCAGATAATCAGACAGATTATCAGGCAGATAATCAGATAGATTATCAGACAGTTTATCAGACAGTTTGTCAGACAGTTTGTCAGACAGGTTATCAGACAGATTACCAGACAGGTTATCAAAATGACTATCAGACAGATTATCAGACAGATAATCAGACAGATTATCAGACAGATTATCAGACAGATTATAAGACAGGTTATCAGACAGATTATCAGACAGATTATCAGACAGATTAGATGATATTTAACAGATCATGGATTATCGTTTAGGGGACTACTTCATGAGATATATTGAAAAGTTCTTTAAAATGAACACGATATCATATCACGTGATCTTACACGTCATTGAAGTCTGTAGTCTTGACCTTCCTCCTCTGTTTGACGAAGGTGTAGATGAGGGCGGCAATGATGACACACAGGAACCAGTAGAGCAAGAGACCCACAGGGAGGCCGATCAGCAGGCCTTGTTTGTCTGGGGAGAATGGATGTTTACCGTGAGAGGATCACAGTGCTCGGAGTACTCCAGACAGAACAGGCAATAGTGCTCACATTAGTGGTTATATAACTCTGAATGGTGTACACGAATCACAATTTTTAACTAATATTTTAAGATAAATTTGGACAACTTGTAGATTATCAAAATTATTTAACTCTACGATGTTGATATGTAGTGACACTAGTACTATTAATTTCCATTTTCTTATCGAAGAGAAAACTACTAATTAATTTTATAATTAACAAGCACTAATTAGTTAAGACGCCTTACTTTTTGAGTGCGGTTCAGAACTGAAACAAAAAAAGAAGAAAAATTATGATCCAATTTAAATGTGCTATGAGTAGTGAGGGCAGCATACTGTTGTGTGGGGGGGGGGGGGGAAGGGGGGGGGTTCTGATTGATGTTTGTCAATCTTATGTGTCTGGCCTAGAAATTATCGGAACAATAAATACAGACCTCCACATAGAATACCATGGCAAACATCAAACAATATGATAGAAACTCTGTGTTTTAAAAATGGTTTTTTATCATGAAATGCAGTTAAACGCAGATCCTCTTCACGTTCCAATAAACTTCTATCAAGTCCCCAACGGGGTTAGGGGGGGGGGGGTAGGGTCTACCAGGTAAGGGAGCGACCGATTTAGGAGATTTCACTCCTACCACTCCCAAATATAGCAACATGCCCTGACCGATATGTATAAGACTACAACAATATCACACACTTAACTAGAGATTACAACATCCAACCAACAAATCTTAGTTTCATATTCAAACAAAAAACAATTGACTAGTTAGATTTATGTGACTGTGGGTGTGTGTGTGTGGGGGGGGGGGGGTTCTTTCAGTCTACTCAGCTGTGATAGGTACCACCAGACTTACGTGTTAGGGAAGGTAAAGGTTGCTGGGCTTAGTGCTGACCACACCTACCCTTCATATGAAGAAGTAAAAAAAGATATGAACTACTTCGTCAGCCCAATGGATCTCTAGGTCTAAAGAGGAATGTTCTTTTACATAGGTTTATCTCCCCTTCCCACTTGATAGATTCAGACGTGCCATCTACCAGACTACCCCCCCCCCCGCCTGTTCACGTACCCGCATGTGGTGGTGATGTTGTCATCTACCAGACTACAACCACCCCCCCACCTGTTCACCTACCCGCATGTGGTGGTGATGTTGTCATCTACCAGACTACAACCACCCCCCCACCTGTTCACCTACCCGCATGTGGTGGTGATGTTGCCATCTACCAGACTACAACCACCCCACCACCTGTTCACCTACCCGCATGTGGTGGTGATGTTGTCATCTACCAGACTACAACCACCCCACCACCTGTTCACCTACCCGCATGTGGTGGTGATGTTGTCATCTACCAGACTACAACCACCCCCCCACCTGTTCACCTACCCGCATGTGGTGGTGATGTTGCCATCTACCAGACTACAACCACCCCACCACCTGTTCACCTACCCGCATGTGGTGGTGATGTTGTCATCTACCAGACTACAACCACCCCCCCACCTGTTCACCTACCCGCATGTGGTGGTGATGTTGCCATCTACCAGACTACAACCACCCCCCCACCTGTTCACCTACCCGCATGTGGTGGTGATGTTGTCATCTACCAGACTACAACCACCCCCCCACCTGTTCACCTACCCGCATGTGGTGGTGATGTTGTCATCTACCAGACTACAACCACCCCCCCACCTGTTCACCTACCCGCATGTGGTGGTGATGTTGCCATCTACCAGACTACAACCACCCCACCACCTGTTCACCTACCCGCATGTGGTGGTGATGTTGTCATCTACCAGACTACAACCACCCCACCACCTGTTCACCTACCCGCATGTGGTGGTGATGTTGTCATCTACCAGACTACAACCACCCCCCCACCTGTTCACCTACCCGCATGTGGTGGTGATGTTGCCATCTACCAGACTACAACCACCCCCCCACCTGTTCACCTACCCGCATGTGGTGGTGATGTTGTCATCTACCAGACTACAACCACCCCCCCACCTGTTCACCTACCCGCATGTGGTGGTGATGTTGCCATCTACCAGACTACAACCACCCCCACCTGTTCACCTACCCGCATGTGGTGGTGATGTTGCCATCTACCAGACTACAACCCCACCCCACCTGTTCACATACCCGCATGTGGTGGTGATGTTGTCATCTACCAGACTACAACCACCCCCCCACCTGTTCACATACCCGCATGTGGTGGTGATGTTGTCATCTACCAGACTACAACCACCCCCACCCCCGCCTGTTCACCTACCCGCATATAGTGGTGATGTTGCCATCTACCAGACTACAACCACCCCCCCACCTGTTCACCTACCCGCATGTGGTGGTGATGTTGCCATCTACCAGACTACAACCACCCCCACCTGTTCACCTACCCGCATATAGTGGTGATGTTGCCATCTACCAGACTACAACCACCCCCCCCCCCCCCACCTACCCGCATGTGGTGGTGATGTTGTCAGCCAGTACCACACACACCAGTGGGTACTGACACGCTTGAATGAGCGCAGCTTGTACACAGGGGCTGGCCTGGGCATCAACTGATCCGTGGATGATGGGGGGGGGGGGGGGGGGGGCAAAGAGAAACACATGCATCAAAATATGTACGGTAACAAGACTAGGTAAATACATAACACATGTGACAAGACTAGGTACATACATAAAACATGAAGGATCAAAACATGCACGGTACCAAAACTAGGTAAATACATAAAACATGTACGATAACAAGATAAGGTAAATACTAAGTCTTTAACCCTTAAAGCGCTCAGCTGGTATTCAGGAAGTGCATTAAAAAATGGGATCAAAATGGCAATGTTTACAAATTTTGATACCCCCTTTTAATTTTACCATTTTAAAGTGTGATCTATACATTATAGACCTATGAACCCATACATTAATGGAAAGCTTAAATAATAAAGAATATGAAAACACATTAACTATTAACAGAAAAACACAATAGTAAAAATTTAAGAAAAATGAAATACAAACCATTTTTTTTACCTTCGCAAATAATTTTAATTCCTTGAATAAAGTACACATAAATTTTCAAAAACAAACACCACAATCTAAAAAACAAAGTACCAAAACCAGCACATATATATCCTTGATAAGAAATCACACACTAGTAGTAACTATAGGGTCCTATGGTATTTGGCAAAGCATTCCGGACACAGTCCAACATTGCAACCAGAACACTCCCACCCACTTCTGACTCTTGCAGAATGACCTGCAACACACTGTCTTTTTTTGCACACTTGTAGTTTCACTAAGTCATGGCCATCTAGTGGATAACTGTAAGCAGAAGGCACTGGGGACTCAACACCATTTCTGGTGGTTGATATTTCCTCCCTTGTCCGTTTGCGACGAACAATTTTTTCTGGTGTGAATTTAGAGGACAGGCTCTCCAAAACAGAAATGATAAAATTGCACCTAAAAAGCACAGGCTTGTCTGAAGTGTTCAGCTTGTATAAGATATAGCTGTTTAGCACAGCTCTACCTAACAAAGAGAAGAATACTTTATTTGTCCATTTGAGGGTTTGACGTTAAGCCAGGTACATACAGTTTTTTTTAAATGTGCAGGGAACCATGGTGTTTCTTGGCTATGGTGGCAGGAGTCCCAATAAGCATTGGAATTGGGCTTTTGGTTTAAGCCCATGTTCAGGACCACAGCAAGAAAGGCCCTAAATTCAGCTAGGGTGAATGGAGTCAATTTGTGGACTCTTGATCGGGGAATGATGCCATAACTTCTCTTTGTTGCTCTCGATGAACTCGCTAGCGTAGCAGTTGGTCTCAGCTATGATAACATTGGTAAGCTCTGCTGTTAAAAACAGATCCAAGTATTCAACAGGCTTAGCATTAGCAGCTGGTTTATGCTTGGGTCCTGGATTTGCTGTAAACAGGATAGGTCTAGGGCCACAATCCTCTCCAACAATAGGCTGCCAATGTCCATCAGCTGTAAGAGATTCCCTGTCCTCTGAATCTGAAAAATAGATTAAATTTATAATTAGAGCCTATTATTTTATTTTTTAATAATTATATTGACTTCATTTACATTTGTTTACCTAAATAGTTGATATATTTAATATAGAGATCTAGATATTCATTCATAAATTTTTAAACAGTATCTACCTAAAGAGGTGGGCGTGGCACTTCAAGCACCCACACCCTTACAGTAAAAATAAAATAATGTAATAATTTTTCTGACACTAGATCTACTTTCACTTTATTTTTAAAATTCATCACCAAGCTGAAGAGAAAGTATTTGTATTTATTAAATTCGAACACTTACCATACAAATCATCTAAAACGCTGCTATCAAAGTCATCATCAGTCTCAATTATGTTCTTGAGTCACCTTCACTGTCTCTTGAGTCGCTGTCCAATTTTATTTGTAAAAAATTTAGCTTTCACAGTACAAACACTAAACCACGATGTTTGAAATCGGAAATGGCGGAAGTATTCGTGTATTTACGGTTACTGGTCTAATTGCCGAGTATTTACGAAAAATACGGCCGCAAACACACGAAACCACGATCGTGGCCTTACGCGTTATACGTTCTGTTATAGCAAAGCCACGATCGTGGCCATGCGCGCTTTAAGGGTTAAGAACATGTACTAAAACATGATTAGAAAATATATAAACCGTGTATATTTACGATAATAATACTAGCAAAGTAAGTAAACAAATGTAGGCCTTAAACAGCTTAAATACCTTGTTAAATTACTGCACACAGCTAGTTACCTCCATAAAGTTACCCAGATGTTTTTATGGTTAAACTCCACCCCTTCACCCCCCCCCTCACCCCCGACTCCCCCAACTCCACCCAACAGATCGTATCGTCTGTCGCTGGCCACCATTCCCTTCTAGGTGACGCTCCTACTTTCTCCAAATTGTAACAGGAATTCAATTAGCATAAGGTAGATCTGGTCGCAATGGTTGATAAGTATGATAATGTGAATAGATTCAGAGTCTTTTCAGACATTTTTCTCAGGTAGAGGATGGGGGATGGGCACTTGAAACTTCAGGGGAGAGGAGAGGGTGGTATTTAAAATTTCCGGAGTGGGGTGGGGTGGGGGTGGGGTGGGGGAAGAGACACTAGATGTTGTATATATTCTTGTTTAATGTATATTTTTTCTATTTCTTCCATGGGGTGAGGAGGGGGCGGGGGATGTTTGCAAGAAACTAACTAAATTCAAGTGATCATCAGAAAAGAATCCACCGTTAACAAAACGTTACATCACCTTACATTTGACCATAGATAAACGTTACGACATCTTACATTTGGCCCATAGATAAACGTTACGACATCTTACATTTGGCCCCATAGATAAACGTTATGACATCTTACATTTGGCCCCATAGATAAACGTTACGACATCTTACGTTTGGCCCCATAGATAAACGTTACGACATCTTACATTTGGCCCCATAGATAAAAGTTACGACATCTTACATTTGGCCCCATTTGATAAATGTTACGACATCTTACATTTGGCCCATAGATAAACGTTACGACATCTTACATTTGGCCCCATAGATAAACGTTACGACATCTTACATTTGACTCCATAGATAAACGTTACGACATCTTACATTTGGCCCCATTGATAAACGTTACATCTTACATTTGGCCCCATAGATAAATGTTACGACATCTTACATTTGACTCCATTGATAAAGACTTGCGTGGCTGTTGCAGGCAAGTTATCGAATGTCACATTCTGTTGTCCTGTTTGTATCGATCTCGTGAGGGCCGCGATACTATTCTGGTTATCGGAAATTTCCTTTGCTGTACCGGTTATTTTTAGAACTACGGCGAGACTTCCGTTACTGAAAAAAAATTAAACAAGAATTTCAAATACCAATCTGTAGTTGGATTTAACAATCATACGTACATTAACATTAAGTACATGAAACAGATTGTGAATCCAATGATAGGGTGAGTTAATTGACCTTGATTTTTTATTTTTAGGGAGTTCGTGGGGCGCCCTGGGTTCTACACTGCTCTGATGTGTATAGGACCAGTGTTTCTTCCAGACTCTTTTCTCCGGGGGGCACTTGAAATTTTCGGGGGGGGGGGGGGGTAGACTTTCTTCGGGGGGGGGGGGGCGGACACTGTTAAAAGTATATATTTTGTATATAAATTATATAAATTTCAATTCGTTCGGGGGGGGGGGGGTGCGGTAAAAAAATTTCGGGGGTTGGGGGGCGAAGCATCCCCGAAGAGATGCCTAGAAGAAACTCTGTATAGGACTCTAATAAGAAATACATAAAGGCGGCTTGAAATACATCTAGTGCTGACCACACATTTCATTTATATGTAAGAGTCACAAAACAGATATGCTCTACTTCCCCAGCCCTAAGTGGACCATAAGACCTCTCTAAAGATTATAATTCATTGTTCAGAATTCCTTTGTCATTAATTCTAGACTAATAAAAAGTAGACCCTAAATGAAACTGAGCATCAACATTAGCTAGCAAGCCGGAGTAAAACAGTTACTAAAGGTGTGTACACTCAATGAAGTGCACCTATTGTGTATCAGTTCTTGTTTCGCTTGCTCTCATTTAAATCCTGGTACCATAAACTGAGTTACGCAGCAGTTTTAGAATGACAGACATGCGCCTACCTTATTGTTAGATTTGTAATATCCATTGGTAAAGTCAAGTTATAGATGGAGGCAAGCTGGAAAAGAAAGTCACATGGCCAAATTTTATTTTAAAACAAATTTTTCAGAACTTTAATTTTAATACAGCAGAACAGGATTTAAAACCTAAATGCAAGTCAATAACGAGTAGTTCAATTATAATATTTAATGCTTTTTTTTCAGATAGTACGAACTCTATGCTATTGTAATGAAGAAATATTGCTCATAATAAATACCATTATATAAGACTAGTTGTTCAAAATCAGATGTTAAACAGAAGCCTGACAGCCCAACTTAAGAATTACAGACAAACGTCCCAAGGATGAACCAACATTACAAAGATGGACCAACATCAGACAGATGGACCAACATAAGACAAACGGACCAACATCAGACAGATAGACCAACAGATGGACCAACAGATGGACCAACAGATGGACCAACAGATGGACCAACAGATGGACCAACAGATGGACCAACAGATGGACCAACAGATGGACCAACAGATGGACCAACAGATGGACCAACAGATGGACCAACAGATGGACCAACAGATGGACCAACAGATGGACCAACAGATGGACCAACAGATGAGACAGATGGACCCTCATCAGACAAAAGTGCACATAACTTACTGCTTGCAGTGTCCTATTCCTGAACTGCTGGTACTCCACACTGCTAGTGTTGAGACCTTCAACAGCCGAGGTGTTGTAGCTAAACACAAAGGCTAGGCTGATATCTTTCAGAGCTTTAGGGGGAACAACGAAGAAAAAGTTTATTAAGGAGGAGAAAAAGTTTATTAGGGAGAGAAACAAAATGCTCAATTCAACGCGAAGAATACATTTTTAAAGAGGTTTTAGGTGAGAAACCCCACAAAAAGAGGTGCAAATATTTATATATTTTTTACAATGAAGTATTTGTATTAAGAAATTGATTAAAATGTAATCAATACAAACTCGCTAAATGTAAGGGAAACATTGATGGGATAGTCTTAGAGAGTCTAGTTGGGATAACTGATTGTGTGTGTGGGGGGGGGGGGGTGAGGCGGGTGTGGTATGGGGAACATTGATGGGATAGTGTTAGAGAGTCTAGGTGGGATAATTGATTGTGTGTGGGTGGGGTGATGTGAGGGTGGTATGGGGAACATTGATGGGATAGTCTTAGAGAGTCTAGGTGGGATAATTGATTGTGTGTGTGTGGGGGGTGATGTGAGGGTGGTATGGGGAACATTGATGGGATAGTGTTAGAGAGTCTAGGTGGGATAATTGATTGTGTGTGGGTGGGGGGTGATGTGAGGGTGGTATGGGGAACATTGATGGGATAGTCTTAGAGAGTCTAGGTGGGATAATTGATTGTGTGTGTGGGGGGGGGTGATGTGAGGGTGGTATGGGGAACATTGATGGGATAGTGTTAGAGAGTCTAGGTGGGATCATTGATTGTGTGTGTGTGTGGGGGGGTGATGTGAGGGTGGTATGGGGAACATTGATGGGATAGTCTTAGAGAGTCTAGGTGGGATAATTGATTGTGTGTGGGGGGGGTGTGTGAGGGTGGTATGGGGAACATTGGTGTGATAGTCTTAGAGAGTCTAGGTGGGATAATTGATTGTGTGTGGGGGGGGGTGATGTTAGGGTGGTATGGGGAACATTGATGGGATAGTCTTAGAGAGTCTAGGTGGGATAATTGATTGTGTGTGTGGGGTGATGTGGGTTTGGTATGGGGAACATTGATGGGATAGTCTTAGAGAGTCTAGGTGGGATAATTGATTGTGTGTGTGGGGAAGGGATGATGTGAGGGTGGTATGGGGAACATTGATGGGATAGTCTTAGAGAGTCTAGGTGGGATAATTGATTGTGTGTGTGTGTGGGGGGGGGGTGATGTGAGGGTGGTATGGGAAACATTGATGGGATAGTCTTAGAGAGTCTAGGTGGGATAATTGATTGTGTGTGTGTGTGGGGGGGGGGGGTGAGGGTGGTATGGGAAACATTGATGGGATAGTCTTAGCGAGGATCTACGTGGGACAGTTGTGTGTGTGTGTAGAAGGTGTGGTGGGGGGGGGGTGGTAGATCAGAAACACTTTTGGGGCTATAAATGGACAAAGTATTGTTGGAAAGGGAATTCTAGGGCACATAGATGTAAAAAGGGGAATTGTGTAAGAGTAGAAATAGGAGTGAATTGGCTATATAGATTCACAGATGTGGTACCAAACTTACGTGGTGGGGTTGTGGTTGTGGGTGGTGTTGTGGTTGGTGTCGTCACAGTGACGGTGGGCGTGGCTGTTATAATGGGGGTGCTCGTGTCTGTTGTCATGTCTGATGACGCCATGAGCTGGTTCGTGGAGGGCAGTGACATATAACCGGTGGTCGATGACATCTGTGTTGTCATTGGCATGGTCGATGCAAGTTCTGTCCCGTTTATCAATGGCGTCATGGTGGACATTAGGTCACTGTGTGATGATGACGTAGTTGACGTTTGCTCTGAAGAATTGGCGGTTGGTGACGTGGTTGTGGAGCTGAAGGTGCTGCCTGACGATGATGGCGACACAACGTCAGTCGTGGGAGTTACAGATGACGTCATATCTGTAACGCTCACAGCGCCACTGGCTGAGGAGCTTATGCTAGAAGCGCTACTGTATAAAGCGCTACTGGCTGAGGAGCTAATGCTAGAAGCGCCACTGTCTAAAGCGCCACTGGCTGAGGAGCTTATGCTAGAAGCGCTACTGTATAAAGCGCTACTGGCTGAGGAGCTAATGCTAGAAGCGCCACTGTCTAAAGCGCCACTGGCTGAGGAGCTAATGCTAGAAGCGCTACTGTCTAAAGCGCTACTGGCTGAGGAGCTAATGCTAGAAGCGCTACTGTCTAAAGCGCCACTGGCTGAGGAGCTAAAGCTTAAAGAGCTAGAGCTAGAATCTAGCAGACTGGAGCTCGCGGCTGACACCGATGTTGATGAGCTAGGGGAGATCTCTGGGAAGGCACTAGACGATGCCGCTGTGGGAAGGGTGGAGCTGATGTCTGGAGATGGCGTTGCTGTTTGTGACGTCACGGAATCTGGGGAGACAAAACAACAAGAGTTACTGTCCTGTTTTGATCGTGTCTAAGTGGGCTGGTACGTCAAAATGTCTGTTAGGTTTACAAATTGTGAATGTAAATAAATTCCAGACGTACGTGGATATTGTGTCATTAGAAACAGTGCCAGTAGCCTTACAACTCTGGGTTCCATCTTAGATTGAGGCTTGTGTCCAGCTCGAAGAAATCGATATCAGTTGTTTGGTGTGATATTTACCTGCACAGGTACGAGATTATAAATTTCCTGAAAGGTTAGATATCATTTTTAAATTTAGGCTGCAGAGTTTTAGTAAAAACACAATATAACGTGTGTAAGTACAACACAATGTAACATAAGATTGTTAAATCGATATTCGTGCATTGGCATCGAAGACGAATTCGTATGAACAGTGAAAATAACCACTGCGTTAGAAGTGTGTCAAATAGAGTTGCAAGCATTCACCACAAACCCACCAACAGCCATCACAGTGTGAGCCATGTAAAAGCTTGTTGGGACGGAGTTCGAATCCGGGTCTTGAGTCCACCCAGCTCTAATGCGTACCTAACTCGCGTTAGGGCGTTAGGGAGAGTAAAGGCGACTGGGCATAGTGCTGACCACATTATCCCTTCATATGCCGAGGTCACAGAAACTCTACTTCCCTTGCCCCATAGACCGTCAGGTTTAGAAGGGAACTTTACTACTTACTTAAAAGCTTGTCGTGTAGTCCTACACACCTTACACACAATGTGAACAAACACACCATAATGGAAATAAAAAAACCCACTGAGCAATATGTTCTGTGACATGTCACCACAAAAAAAAGGAGCTACGATGTAAATTAAAGAAAAACTATATTAAAAAACTATAGTTCGATTTGAAAACACCACCATGTAACAACAAAAAACCTCGAAATGTAACAAAAAGACCCCATTCAAGTTTTTAAAACAGTGAAAACTAAACTAAGATTTTGAAGTAAAAACACGCCAACTTTATAACAAACACAGTGTAGGCGGATAATAAACACAAGCACACAAACTTGATAAAAAGAACAGTTGAATTTTAAACTAATATTACCTAATAAAAGCACACCAACTATATAAAAACCACAGTTGTATTCTAAACTCAGATTACGTAGTAAAAGCACAACAAAAAACACGCAGGATCTGTTATTAAAAAAATGTACATTAACCCACTGGTATTCAAACACACCTGTACGCCCTGAGAAAGTCGGAGAGAAAACTTACCTGCACGCTGTTGAGGGTGGGGGGGGGGGGGAGAACCTGAGTAGATGTGTCTCCACGGTCGGTAGGCCCGGGCCACACCCGTGTCACACAATACCACCGTCCCGCACATTCCCCACACACTCCCCACACCGTACCACACATTCCCAACCAAAGCCGCCCTACATCAAGCATTCCATTTATTTATTGTCGGGTGGAGTGTAAGCGAGGGCGGGGGGGGGGGGGGGTGTTAGTGGGAGGGGGAAGGGGGTGTAAGCGGGGGTAGGGGAGGGTAGGGTTAGCTGTGTGTTGCTTACCCTTAGCTTGTCAACATTTTAAACCGTGTTAGTATTTTCCATCTCTGTATGAGGAAGTAGGATGGTATAGTCCCGCACTGAGATATGTTTACAGTACCATCTCATAAAAATATTTACAGTCCATATTAAGAAACAATAATAGACCTGCGTCAGCGTAGTGGTAAAAAAATAAAAAACACAATTGCGTTGAATGATAATATTGGTAGATCGAAAGTTTATAAAATCAGATGCATTCGTTCGTTAACACTTTAAGCTTTATAGCCGCATTTATAGGGTTGACGCATTATTCTTAAAGATAATGATTCTCATCAAAGATTGAAACAGGTGTGCCTACCTTTAAGGTTGATATAGTGGCCCCCAATACCACGCATAGTCCTGCACTAACCTAGTTCACGGTATGGTTTAACTAAATAAAAACAATGAGCAGAAACACAACGGGGGCGTGTTGTCGTTTTTTTTTTTACCTGAGTTGTGGGCTGCTAAAAATAAACAAAACACCTATCTAGAAAATCTGTCCAGGTTTAAAGACGAAGCTTAGGTTTGACAGACAGAAGAAATAAATTCTGCCGTTGGATTGAAAATTATAATTCTTTCATGATACCTGGGCATTACGTTTAACTGACAATTTTAGGGATGTGTGTGTGGGGGGGGGGGGGAGTGGGGTATTCTTGATCTACACATTTATTATAAACTTTTTAAAAATTATTATTTCACGCTGGGTGGGGCAAAGACGTGTCAGCCTTGGGCGCTAAAATAACAAATATAGCTATGACTCAGATGATCTGTTATACAATTTCATATTGAGGTACATAACATTACCTTCTATACCTTCTGTACCAGTAAAATAACATTACACACGATACCAGGAACATACCACCAGAGGCGTAGCGAGGGGGGGAGGGCGGGGGGGGGGGGTGCGGTCCGCACCGGGTGACACCGTTTAGGGGGGGGGTGACACCAAGGCAAAAAATAGCAAAATATATAGACAAACTTGAGGGGGGGGGTGCATATCGAAAACTTGAGAGGGGGGGTGCAAATCGAAAGTTTGAGGGGGGGGGGGTGCACATCGAAAATTTGAAAGTTTGTCCCCGGGAAGGGTCGCTACGCCTCTAAGGGGTGACACCATTAAGTGCCGCATCGGGTGACACCCGACCTCGCTACGCCACTGCATACCACTATCCTAGATATTTGATTATGTGCAGGCTCATACAGTCCAACAAAACGAACTTTCAATGATTTATTTTGTTTAAATGAACTAGACGGTGTGGTCTACAGATAAAGAACCAGACAGAAACGATTATTGATTCGTTTGCGATTATTAATTTTAAACCCATGACAAGGATCTGTCACCTTTATTAGTGTCCAATATTTTTTTAAATTATAAATTTATAGTTGCATTTTAAAAGAAATAATTAAAAAGATATTTCTAAATTCAGGTCTACATTATTTTCAAAAGACGCCTGATAGAACTATAGTTACAAATATGAAATGTAAGAGAATTCATTGATTGCATTTTTTTAAAGGGAGACAATGTTTGAAGAATAATAATACAAAACAGTTTGGCTGAACAAGAGAATAACTATTGAACTTTCCTCGTTGTTTTATCTTTTTATTTAGTGTGTTTAAAATGGTGAAATATAATCACAACACAGTAGGCTACACATTTTAAATTTAGGACGTTGGTTTCATGCCGTTAAGGAAGTTTAAATCACCTGTGTTAAAAATAAACTAAAGAAACCAAACAAACCAGAAATGGAGCCTAACACACAGCTTTGACCGTGGCTCGTGTAATAAACAAACATCGTTCTTATCTGTGCATGTAAAAAATAACTTTCTGGTCCATTTGACGACAACAAATTATTGAAGTTGTATGTGAACATGTTTAAGTGGAATAGGCTTATGACTAGAGTATTTATTCCTCATTAAGCAATCCTTGAATGCAATCATTTGATATAAAAACGGGTGTCCGGTAGTAAGACAACATCGGTTCTGAATGTCAGTAGTTAGAACTAGTGCTAGTGTTGATATTAAATCTACTTGTAGGCGACTGTCTACCCCCCCCCCCACCCACCCACCCTACCAATCTATTTTTAGACTAGACTTTTACAATAACATTATTTTAAGAGACGGGTAAGAAAAAAAAATTCAGCTAGGCTAAATGTTTCCCGTTTCTAAGGCAGGTGTTTACTTACATCCGTAAGATCGAGGTTCTGAATGGCCTAGAACTGGCCACAAAACGTGCTACATCGTATCACCCCCCCCCTCCCCTCCCCCACCCCACTCAAGGACACGCCTGGATACGCTCGGCTGGTCAACAGGTATGTGTGTCTGTACGCTAATAAAAAACCTTGGCCGGTCGTATTCAAGTTGTTTTCATCTCCCAACACCCAGAGGGGGTGGGGTGGGGGGGGGGGGAGCCAGCACAACATCAACCACGGGTTGCCTCGCCTTGTTGAAGTTATCGTTCATGTCAAGGTTCTATAACCACTGGAGCAGAACACAGCGTCAGATCCGGGTTGTCGAACCTAGGCCGAGTTATCGTTCATGCCCAGGTATTGTAATCAGTGACGCGGAACGATCAGATGGCAACGTTTCGTAATTCTCTTCTAAGAAACTAAACTGGAAAATGTACATTAATTTTACTTTGATAGTGATAGTAACGAATTATTATAAAATGAAGTTCCCGTTTTTTTGGGTACTGCATAATTATTATTTTAATGAGTATCATTATATATATATATATATATATATATATATATATATATATATATATATATATATGTATATATATAGCAGTACTTCAACCTTTTAGCTACATAGCCTTCATGTACAGAACATATTTTTTTATTTCTATAGATTTTCAAGGCGTTAAACCAACATTACGTTGTTGTTTATTTTCTCACCGTTTGAATTTTTATTGTGATTCATGGTGGTGCATGATTGTTCTATGTTCTGAGGAGGTAACTCTAGCAAAATGTAAAAGTTAAATGCACTTTGACTTTGAGTAGAGTAGTCGGCCTTGTAGGTTTCGAACAGCTTTAAAAAATCTCTTTTGTTGTTTTGATGAGCTCTGCTCTTGCTTCAGTGTTTTGTTGGTTTGTTTTTTCTTCGGTTTCGGTGACGGTTGGAGGGGCTAGGAGGATTATATATATATATATATATATATATATATATATATATATATATATATATATATATATATATATATATATATATATATATATATATATAGGGTAAAGGAGGGCGTTAAGAGCCACACTTTTTAGCACCTGTACATTTTTAAAGATTTCTACTAATCTAAGAATTTTTTAGTATTGAAAATATGGCAAAATTATTCTAACATATCTTACACAATATAAAAATAATAACAAAGTCTATTAAATATACTTTAAATGGGTTTAATTGAACATTTATTGTCATACCCCCGAAATCAGCATTTGGGGTGATAGGAGCCGGGCAATGGGGCAATAAGTATTATCTCCTAGTTTAGACTAACTCCACAATAGAAATAATTAATTTCTAACCCCAAAATAGTTAAAGCTGTGTACACACACTTTAACTGATACTAGCTATCACTCGCCCCAATGGGCCCAGTCTACAATTGATACAATTGCAGGTGTACATAGGGCCTAAAGTCTAGTAGTTTACAGTAGGCACATTAGTATGCCTAGTGTGTAGCTAGTATACTAGTGTGTAGCTGTCCAGAGTTAACATTCTTGTATGTAAAAAGGGGTGGTACTAACTAATCTGCCTTAATGCTTTCCCCTGATAAGCCATGTGTGCTATACATTACATAACATGACATAGAGGTGAGAAATGTTGAGGGGAGAGCAGTGGTACTGGTTTCCCCTTTGTTCTGCTTGCTGGACCCTGAGGGCCATAAATTACATAAGGAGATGCTATCTCTGGTTGGCTGAGATCTAAGAACTTAGTCCATGTTACCTACAAAGAGATGAAGTTTTATGGTGGGTTAGATACAGGTGGGGTCTGGCTATCATGGAGGTGAGAAATTGTGAGGGGAGAGCAGTGGTACTGATTCCTCTTTGGTCTCCACCCTGCTAGACCATGAAGGTCATATATTACATAACATGCCACCCCAGATTGTCTGAGATCTGTAACTGTAATCCATGTTACCTACAAAGAGATGAAGTTTTATGGTGGGCCAGAAACTGGTGGGGGCTGGGTATCATGGGGGTAAGAAATTGTAAGGGGGGAGCAGTGGTATTAATGTGTCTGTTTACTTCCCTGCTGGACCATGAGGGTCATAAATTGCATAACATACCACCCCAGATTGGCTGAGACCTAAGAACATTTATTCCTGTTACCTACAAAGAGATTAGAAGTTTTATGGTTGGTTAGAAACAGGTGGGGGCTGAGTCGGCTGTATTGCCCCTTAGGGGTAATAGGTACCTGTACCATTTTAAAAATTACCTTGCTAACATCAGATGGCTTAATATGTACTTTTTAGCAGGTTAGAATTGTATTTCTATCATTTAGACACAAGTCTGTTTAACAATTAATACATTTTGTGTTAATTATTCCTATACCAGTGTCATATTCAGTGGTCTAATAA